GACGGTACTAAGTAATATGCTTTTAGGTTTGGACTTTATCTGTAGCAATCTAGTTTTGTGGTTTTATATCATCAACCGGGCCATTTTATATTGTTAATCTAAGGAAAAATCCTGTCCATTCCTAGAATAAATTTTTGCTTCAACAATTTCACCAAAAATCCTCAGTTTAATGAATCCAATCTATCCAGATGCTCGCTGCTTTGAAGAATGACCGCATGCTTGTACAAAGTCGAAGCCCTTTTAATACTGAGCATGAGGTATACTTGCACGATCCAGTTCCAAAAAAAAACATACTTAGAGGAAATGCATATTGGGAACTACTTTAGAAGTCACTGTTTATAGTTTGCACAAGTTTCTGACCTCGAATGACATATGTCCTTTGTGTTCTCACCATTTCTTTAGAGGTTTATTCAGCAGTTTGAGCTCCTACAGAGAGCTTGCATTCCTGACCACGTCTCATTCTCCCTGTTTGTGGAATCTACAACCCAAGCTTGTTTATCGGTGAGTGAATTTTCTGCCAACACTGGTCGGAATTTCCTTGATATTCTGGTAGGCTTACTGTTACTTATTCCTTTTCACAGAACCTAGTAATGTATGATTACTTTAAGGATGCTCAGAGGATTGCAAAGGAGATCAAGAGTAGTTTTTCAAACGACCCAGAAAAATTGGCCGAACTACGAAGGCTAGAGCAGGTAGCTGAGCACAATAGCATTGCCTTAAACGTGATTAGCCGAGCCGGAGCCCAAGACCCCTCGCTCAAGGTTTCTTTCGAGTTCAACCACCATCCGTGCTTTGCAACGGCTGTTGTTAGGCGATCGTGAAGGTGACGTTTAATTATCTCCACCAATTTTGAAACACTCCCTCAATCCAGATGCAGTCTTGTAGCATAGCACTTGTAACATCAATCTTTCAAGCATTATTTTCCAACTATTCATTTCATTAATTTTGTAATTGCAATGAATAAAATACAAAACCATATCTAAGTGAGCTCTTGTCCGCTCCCTCTTTCTCATCGCCATTTATTTTCCTGCTTTCTACTTTGTTGTTATGGGAAGTCAAGTGGCAAAGAAGTGAATGCGATGCAAACGGTGACAGTATCTTAAGCCAATAACAAACTACAATATGTTTTAATTTTACCGTATGACAATGTGTTATTGATTTAAGATATTATTCGAGTGGTTAACCATGGATATGTAGTTCTTTACGAGAGGCTTTTTATTGAAATTTCTCACTTTATGGTGATGAAGCAAAAGAACGTAAAGACGACGTGACTCACGCCCAACTTTGAATTTGAATCTGGATGGATCCACCTGAGCTAAAGGAAGTCCACCAAAACTTATTCAAAATCGATCCAACGAACACTTTCACCCACTATGTAAAATTCTTGGGTCCAGTGGATGGGCCATCGCTTGTCAGGCCACACACACAAGGTGAGAGACCTTCCTGCATTGAGAACGGAATCGGTAAAGAGTGTGTGGGACACTAATACAAGAAGGTCTCACCTTTTGTGTGTGGCTAGTCAGAGCAACGTGGTCTTTTTGGCGGACCTAAGAATTTCTCACAATTTCGCCAATTCATTGTACTTTAGAAGTTCCAATTTCCAAATGTTGAATTTCTTGATTAGAAGTTTGTAGTTGGACGAATCAATTGTCATTTTTCATTTGTTTCTTCATCTAGCATAGGTTGAATTATACGGATCGGGTCTTTAGACCTCCGAATTGGCAAAGTCAGCCGTCAAAAGAGCAAACCGACGAAATTTGGGGCAGCTGGTGCATGCATGCAATCCATATAATAATACAACAAAATCTTGTACCAAAAAGTGCTGCCTAGCACTTAGCAGTTGACATTTTTTAGTTGTTTTTATCATGTATGGTTGATCGAAGTCTCTTTTTTTTCTTGATAAGACGATATTCTAAAATCAAATAGTGATATTTGAACTTAAATACGAATGTGGTACACATTATTTCGAGTTGACCGGCACCTCTGAAAAATATCTACATTGAACGATACAGAAGGTCCCTCATAACCTCCAGATTAGTGGATTTAGTGTGGGTCCCAGAGTTAAGCTGGAATTTCTAGAACGTGGTTTAAAAAACTTAATTAAAAAATGAAAATGGTATTGTTTTCTCATTGTTAATTTGGAGGGTGCGATCGTCTTTTTCGTAAGTAGCTTAGGAAATTAGGATCTGTGCCGGCAATGCATTCAAAATGTAAATTATAAACCCTAACCATTTGGAGAACATAAATTAACACAAAAATGCATTGTGTAGTTCTTTTGGGAAATTGAGGATGTGTTATGGCTTTGTCTAGCTTATGAGTTGTCTATTATGATGACAAATTTTTACGCAAGGCATCTGGATCACGCATAATGTCTGATTCTTCTCACAAAACATAATTTCATGTATCTTAATATCTCAACCGTCCTAATTAATCTTTCTTAGCGTTTGAATTGTACTGATCAATTATTCGTACCAACGCTTTTCTCTTGTACGACATTCTAATTCTACACTAAAGAATTTTTCGCTTATCTAAAATTAACCTCCTCCATTACATCACAAGCAAAGAGAGTAATGTTTAATATGTTATGTAGGTTGTTGTTTTTAAATGTCACATCCGTACCAATGGCTTAATTTATGTTTTGTTTGGCTAAAAATGTTGGCGAGCTAATAAACTATAGAAAACTGGCGTGACTTATCAGCTTTGCTTTTGGAAAATTTATCCTACTTTGAATTCTTATATATAACTATTTTTCTATTTATATCCTAACTATTTTTTTTAGATGGTTGAATGACTTTTTTTTTCTTTTTTAATTAAAGAGACCAGTTCGTAACTTGATCACGACAATTCATTATTCCAAAAAATTATGTGCCTTTTTGCGTTTGAATAAATCTCTATCATTTTTGAAAAAGATTATATCCTAATTTTTGCAATACTCGATGGGTTAGTCAGTATTTTGTAGTCCATGATTGGAATTAGGATAAAGAAATAAAGGGGAGTGGAGTTCCAACTATTTGGCAACCTGTTTATTTAGTATGTACTAATACATTTTGCAACACACGTGTCTTGGTCCGACAAGACAACAACAATTAAGCTTTATTCCATTTAGAGGAGTTGACGGTATAAATTTTAAAACATCATTATGGTTAATTTTACGCTAAGTTTTTTGTTATATTCTGAAGAGAAAAAGAATGATGGCCAATAATTGCTGGAATTTGATAAAATTTGATATTTGCATATGATCTGGTTGAACGTTAAAGATGAATGCTAACTATATTTTAAGTTAAATTAATCCATTAAATAATAAGTTGGGTGGAAAATTTAAATTATATTATTTGCTAATAATGGAAAGGCCAGGATTGAGAAGAGTAGAATCACAATTGATATTCGAATTAGTTGGCACTAATGACTCGTTTGGATGTGCTTTTAAAATGACTGAAAGTGTTTTTAGAGAAAATATTTTTGGGTTCTAAAAGCACTGTAAGTGTTTTGTACAAGAAGCACCAGTTATGTGCTTCTTCCAGGAAGCACTTGCAGTGCTTTTTCAAAATTTACTAACATTTTTATTAAGGATTGTTTTTAAAAATATTTTCACTATAAGCGTTTTCAGTTATTTTAAAAGCACATCCAAACGAGCTCTAAGTGTTTTTCTTGTTTCTAAGCAACTTCTATTTCTTGTTCTTGGACCATGGTTTTTCATATGGTATGGATTGAATTGGACTCTAGATTAGTTCTAAAGCGACTTCTAAAATATAGATTCATTACTAACGTTCTTGCATTTCTTAAAACATTCTCATTTGTATCGTTTATTAGCTCTCAAAGTGACATCGTAACAAATTTTGCTAATTCATGCCTTGTTGCTATGGAGTTCAAAATTTTACTTCATGTAATAATATCATTTTGAAAAGAAAAAAAATCTTTATATATAAATGAGCAAAAAAATTAACTTTCATTTTAGATCAAATTGGATTTGCTACTCAATTATGACTTGATTAATCATTAATTGTTTGATTAATTAAGACGTACTCAAGGAATGTCCAATTAACTTAAACTGGGCAAAAAAATTAACTTTCATATTAGATCAAATTGGATTTGCTACTCAATTATGACTTGATTAATCATTAATTGTTTGATTAATTAAGACGTACTCAAGGAATGTCCAATTAACTTAAACTTTTCCTAAATGATTCTTTTTCACTCGATACAAATGTAATGTAAAAACGTTTTATCAATCTTTATTCATATAATAAAAAATCACATTTTTCATGGCCAAATGAAATTCACTATATTCAAGATAAGAATAATACAACAACGACAACAACAATTTTTTCTCAGGTCTTCCTTTACTCTTTTTATCCCGATAATTACGAGTACTTCGTATCTTTTATTAAAATCTCTTCAAAATAAGAATAATAACTAGTTATTTTTGTATCTTTCTCCTTTGCGAATTTCTTCATTTCACATCTAGTTATTTTTTGTGCAGATTATTGTTATAAAAAAAAAAAAACGTAACTCGTCAGATTGTGCAGTTCTTATTTTTACTTAGTCAGAAAAGGTTTCAGGTTCAACGTTTAAAAATACAATATAATATTTATGTGTTAATGAGATCATGTTTAGGGCATTTTGAATTTACTTTAAAAGAGTAATATTAGATAGACCAATTCTTTAAATCACATTTTGTAAATTATGTGATGTGACAACAATAAGAAATAAAAACATTAATCAATATTTAAATAATAATTCATTGTTGACGATCATGTTATATAATTTACAAAATATAATTTAAATGAATAGTCTCTCTGGTATTATTCACTTTATAAAAATCATATCGTTTGTGAAAAAATAAAAAGAAAAGAATATAAGATTTAAAGGTGGAGGGGAGTATAAAAGCACGGAAGGAGGCATCGTAGAGAATTATTACCCCATCTCAGACAGCCGTATTTTCTGTTCTTCTGACAGACGGGAAACTTCAGTTAAACTAATTAAATAATTAAACACAAAGAAATTTTAAATTTTAAATAAAAAAGAAAGTAATGGTCGAAGACGCCGACGGGCCACCCAAAACCGAACTCATCCTTCTGGTCGACTTTTCTTCTTCTTCTGCTGCTCTCTCTCAGAATCTCTCTCTCTCTCTCTCTCTCATCAACTGGTTCTCAGGTAAGTCATGTCCTCCGATCTCTCTCTCTCTCTCTTCCAGCTTTCCCTCTCCTCTGCCATTTTTCGCTTATTTCTGAGCTGCCACTACTGATTTCTGCAGCTGGGAAATTTGACTTTTGGTGTTTGGATTACGAATTTTTTTTATTGGAATTCAGTCGGTGATAAGTGTTTTATGCTGAACTATTCAACTTTTTAGTGTGTTATGTGGTTATCCGTTCACTTTTTAGCTAATTGGATCTGAATTATGAAGTTGGAATTTGGAAATTTAGGGTTTCGTGTAGCTTGTTGGAGTTTTCTGTCAGCTTGTATTTGAAATTATCGTAAATTTAATTTTTGGAGTGGTGGGTAAGCTGAGTACTATAGTTTGATTTAGTATTTTGGATAATTTCTTCTTATTTATTGGTTGTGATTTGTGGAATGGAGAGAAGATTGAGTTTTTTGGGTTCCGTTGAAGATTGGATTTTCGGTAGATAAAGGAGAGGGAGAATGTCGGGAGGTACACAGAAGAGCATCAGGAAAGCTCTTGGAGCCCTCAAGGACACCACCACAGTTTCATTGGCTAAAGTCAATAGTGATTACAAGGTATTATGGTTTGTTTGTGGTTGTTTTCGATGGTTCTCGCTGTTATGTTGTATCCGATTTTCATGATTGGGGATTGATTCTTGCAGGAGTTGGACATTGCGATAGTCAAGGCTACGAATCACGTTGAGCGTCCAGCTAAGGAAAAATACATTAGAGGTAGATTCTCTCTCTGAAGATGAGCTGCATGTTGTACTTTTCATGATCTGTATCTGGAAGAAAGAGTTGGTAAATCATGACTGATACGGTTTATGTTTGTATTCTTGTGAAGCCATTTTTGCTGCTGTTTCTGCTACAAGACCTCGTGCTGATGTCGCATACTGCATCCACGCTCTTGCAAGGAGATTAGCAAAGACACATAACTGGGCGGTATGTGCATTTACTCATCTGATAAACATACAAGAATTCATCCATAGCCAGGAACTTTTTGTTTCTATATCTATAATAGCAATAGTCCTCATCTTCATTATCATTCTTAGACAAATATAGCAAGGTGCATTTTTTTCTTGCTTGAAATTTCACAAACTGATTATTGGTTGGTGTTTAGGTTGCATTGAAAACTTTAGTTGTTATTCATCGTGCTTTGAGGGAAGTGGACCCTACATTTCACGAAGAACTCATGAATTATGGTAGAAGTCGAAGCCATATGCTTAACTTAGCTCATTTCAAAGACGATTCCAGTCCAAATGGTACCTCCATATCTCCCTGTCTCTCTTTCTCATACTATTTATTTATTCAAAAACTGACCTTTCACTGCCCAGCATGGGATTATTCTACCTGGATCCGTACTTATGCCTTGTTCTTGGAGGAGAGACTGGAATGCTTTCGTGTGTTGAAATATGACGTTGAGATGGATCGCCCAGTAAGAAGTTTATTTTCTTTGTCATCTTTGTTTTGGCTTATTCTTCCATTTCAATTACATAATTTTGTCATATGGCACATTGACATTTCAAAACCGTTTAATTTATCAGAATCTCATTTACCTGCAATTGCTTTTAATTTTTCCCTCGAAGCTTTATTGCTATTTTTTTATTCACACATTCAAGTCACATTCTTATCCCTAAGCTTTGTTTGCAACTTAATAGTTAACATTATGGTGCAGAGGACCAAGGATCTGGATACTGCCGAATTGCTTGAGCATTTGCCTGCCCTGCAACAGCTTCTCTTTCGTGTACTTGGTTGCCAGGCAAGTCTCATATATCACCACTTCAAAATCAATGGGTTTATCGTATGGGGCCACTAATGCTTAAACACGAATATGGGTTCAATCATGTGTCAGTTATTGAAATATTGTTGACAGAACCAATTTTAAATTTTGCAGCCGCAAGGGGCAGCAGTCCATAATTTTGTGGTTCAGTTAGCACTTTCAATGGTAGGTGACCCTTGCAATAAATTCTAGCTGAATGACTAGCCAATATGATTTCTTTTCCTCTGATTGTCTTCTGTCATTAAATTAGGTTGCTTCTGAAAGCATCAAGATTTATCAAGCTATAAGTGATGGAACAGTCAATTTGGTTGACAAGGTAGGATTTGATCTTTGCTATGTTGGAATATACCATTTGAAGGTTGCACTATAAGCTAATTATGTACGATGATGATTAATTTCACAGTTCTTTGAGATGCAACGCCATGACGCTATGAGGGCCCTGGATATATATCGGAGGGCAGGGCAGCAGGTACTTTTTCTGCAAATATCTCTGTTCTAATCGATGGAGACTGGGGAGTTACAGTATGCATCAACATTTAAATTTTCATCTACATGTTTCAGGCAGAGAGACTGTCAGAGTTTTATGAAGTATGTAAAAGTCTTGATATTGGGCGCGGAGAAAGGTTTATTAAGATTGAGCAGGTGCCTTTGTACTAGCATTTCCTTTTACTACACATTGCATTCCTTGGACAATTTATAATTTTCTCAATTTGATTTCATTTTGGGTGATGTAGCCTCCTGCATCGTTTTTACAAGCCATGGAAGAGTACGTGAAAGAAGCTCCCCGGGTCTCAACAGTTCGCAAGGATCAGGTATGAAAGTGCTACCTCTTTAGTTCAGTTATTTTGGAAGAGATTTGCAATGTTATTCCTGATTAGGAAAGCGAATAGTGGATAATCAGATGCCCTTATTAGCAAAAGCTATGGTAACCTGTTTGACATACCTAAGTGGTTCAACCATGAAAAAATCGGATCCAAGTTCGGCTTTTTGAAGCTGTTGTAGTACTTGTGAAAATACTTAAATAAACCTTCGTCAACTCTCTACCAGCCGATGGAAAATGATGTATTGGCTACTCAATTTTTAATCTGGCAGGTGGTTGCCCCCAAAGAAATCTTGGCTATAGAGTACAAAAAGGCCCCAGAGGAGGAGGTGCGTCCACCTTCACCACCTCTACCTGAACCAGTGAAAGTTGAACCGGTGAAAGTGGAAGCGCCTGTAGCTGAACCGCCTGATTTGCTGGTAGTACACATAACCCTTCTTGAGTTATTCTCTCTTGAATATTGGCATTTTGTAGTCCCTCTGAAGTTTAATTAAGTATGCTTCCTTTGTTGCTAGGGTTTGAATGATCCTGTTCCAAATACTAAGGAGTTAGATGACAAGAATGCACTGGCCTTAGCGATTGTTCCAGTTTGTAAGCTCTCTCTCTCAAAAATGATCTATAGCTCATAATTATCATCAGAATGTTAAGGTTTAAACTAACCATAGAGGCAGTTTGTTTTTTCTATGAAACATGCACGAAACTCGTTATCTTCTTCTTTGGTTAAGAAGAAAACACACTAAATAAATTTGATGTTCAAAAATGCTATTGTGGTTCTTGCAGCGGATCAACCAACTTCCACGGCTCCAACTCTAGCAAATGGAGCTACAGGTTGGGAATTGGCACTTGTTACAGCACCGAGCTCAAATGAGAGTGCCGTGGCTTCTAGCAAACTGGTACGCTTCTCCTACCAATTTCCCTTATGTTAATGTTTACATGTATGACAATTATTTAGTCAGTACACTTCATTTCTCTTTCCTTTTTCTCCCTTAATGACACCTTTCAAATGTTGAGTGAAGGCGGGAGGGTTAGACTTGCTTACACTAGACAGCCTATATGATGATGCAATCAGACGAAGCAATCAGAATGTGAGCCACAACCCATGGGAGCCTGCTCCAATGACTGGTGCCATGATGCAACAACCAGTTCATGACCCCTTTTATGCATCCAACAGAATGGCTGCACCGCATTCTGTGCAGATGGCAGCAATGGCAAACCAGCAGCAGGCCTTCATGTTGCAGCAACAGCAGCAGCAGCAGATGATGATGATGGGCCAACAACAGCAGATGTCTTCGAATCCTTTCGGAACTCCTCACGGAGCCCCCACCCACCCCTATGGCCCTGGCGTCCCTGTCCAAGCATACAACCCATATACAGGCCTTTTATAAACGAACCATACAAGCAACAGATTTTTATCAAGAATTACAGCCGGAGAAAGAAAGGGACATGAACAAATAGTGAGTTTTAGATGTCTGAGGCAGCCGATCTTCTGAGGGAGAGACGTTTACCATGTGTTTTGTATGTGAGGTAGTTGTTAGCTAGGATTAAGATTCTTTGCTAAATAAACAGTCAGAGGGAGGAGTTTGAGCTACTTGGCGATTCGCGTTGAAGGTCGAAAATAATGTTATTCAGATGGAGTGCAGTAAATTCTTTTGACATGCTCAGTTGTTGCTGACAAACTCAGGCAGGAGATGCTTGTGTTTCTGTTTTTCCTGTTCTTTTCCTCCCTCTGTAAAGTGATAGAAAATAATTATTTGTAAAATTTGTGATTGTTGATAAATATGTAACAAGGATATACATGAAATTTGATTTGTGTGTATAACTTGGCTATTTTTATTAATTATTATTCATTTGGACAACATTTTTATTCCTCCTTGTTTACTATTATACTAAAATATGGCTTTTGTTATGGTATAATTACTTGTTTGGATTGTTTAGTTCACTAAACCGACTTTAAAATGTGTTGTAAGTTTTAACTCAGCTTTGGTGAAAGTTTCACGAAAATATTGATCTATAATGAATTTTGACATATTTGCAAAACCGATTAAAAGCTGCGAGTTATTATTCACAATTCTAGTAAAAAAAAATGTGATTTTTAGTTTAAACAAGACCAAGTGACTACATGGCAAGGAAAATATTTTGAGAGTTTTAACGAAACACTTCCGCTACTGTTCACTTTTAACAAAAAACCATATTTTTACCTTTCTTGGTACTATTCACTACACCTTTATTTGTCATTTGTCATTAAAATTAAAGTTTTTTTGAACTTTTCGTTAGTTTTCTAAATATTTTACGTCAACCAAAAACAATTTTATTTATTTGTCATTTGTCATTAAAACCTTAATAGTATTCAAAGTTTGATCAAAGTCCATTGACTTTATACACCTCATTATATTACTATTAATATTTATATTTTTATAGTTTTGACATTAATTGTTTGATATTTTATGAGATTTATAATCCCTCATTATAATTGTAGACATCGAAATTTCGGTAAATAAATGTTGACCGATAAATCAAAGTTTCAACGCTCATGTATTACATAAATTTTACACGTAGCGTGTGTCTAAACAAAAAATCGAAATAAGTTGGAAAAGTCATCAAACAGGACACGTGTCAACACCTGGCAGAAACGACTTATTTCATCTGAAATATTATATTCAAAATTAGGCCTTGGAAAATTCTATAAATAGAAGGCTAATTCATTCATTTGGGGGGAACCAAAATCATTAGGCAAAATTCTTGAAGCTCTGAAGCTCTGAAACTCCGAAGCTCTCAAGCATCCAGGTTCCCGAAGAATCAAGAAAGCTCTCTTCGTTCTTCGTTCATCGTTCATCCTAAGATCAAGCCCCAACGACCCTTTGGATCAACAATCATCCACCAATTCAAGATCAAGCCCCGACGGCCCTTGAAGAAAGCTCTCTTCGTTCTTAGTTCATCGTTCTTCCAAGATCAAGCCCCGACGACCCTTTGGATCAACAACATCAACAAATCCACACAACTGTTCATCCTAAGATCAAGCCCCGACGGCCCTTTGGATCAACAACATCAACAAATCCACACGTCCAACCGTTCTTCAAGATCAAGCCCAAAAGCCCTTGAAGATCCGTTCATCACTGTTCTTCAAGATCAAGCCCAAAAGCCCTTGAAGATCCGCTCATCACTGTTATTCAAGATCAAGCCTCAACGGCCCTTGAAGAAACACTCATCCTCAAGATCAAGCCCCAACGGCTCCTTGAAGATTCGCTCAAATCCACCTTCAAAGATCAAGCCCACGACCCTTGAAGAAACTTCCAACAGTTCATCCAAAATCAAGCCTCGACGGCCCTTAGATCAACAAAACATCCACAAATCAACATCTTACGGAGATCGAATCAGAGGATCAAATTAGAGAGAGATTGTAACCCAAAAATCATCAAATACAAATATTATTTTGTGCACGTTGTTCTTGTCTCTTTCGTTTCAGGAAAAATTCGTGTTCACAAATTTGGCACGGCCAGTGGGACAATCTCTACCTCTTATCTCTTTCTCCGTTCAAGGAATCCAAACACACCTCAAAGTCAATGGCATCAAGCAAGGGACAAGCCGTTCTCGCAACCACTGAGGGAAGGATCCTAAGCACTTCTGCCGCAAACAGACAATCCATTGGCGCCACAACCGCTCCTCAACATGCCACTTCAAAGTTGGTGCTGCTAAAGGAGCAAGGGGAGCATCAAAGGCGCGAGTCCGTCATCAACCTGACCTCGCTGGGGGCACCGAAGCATAATGCTGAGGCACATAAGATGACATCCCAAAGTAGCCAACGACGTTCTTCATCAGCATCCTGGATGTCTAAAGGAAAGTCACGTCTATTGGTCGCACAAGTCATGACTATCGGCGTTACCTCCATTGAAGAACAACTGGCTCAAATGAATGAAGCGATTGCAAGGCTAACACAGATTGTGGAAGAAAAAGATTTGCAAATCGCTGCACTCGTCAGCCGACTGGAGCCACAGGACGGCGAGAACCCTAACCCAGAAGATGAGCCTATGGTGGAAAGAATCGATGTGAAGCTGGAGCCAGACCAAGCAGCGGCACTCATGGGATCTCTTTCTATCCAGCAGCTGCAGGAGATGATCACCAACACCATCAAGGCACAGTACGAAGGGAGCTCAAATACCTCCGGGTTATACTCGAAGCCGTATTCAAAGAAGATTGACGCCTTAAGGATGCCGATGGGTTATCAACCGTCAAAGTTCATGCAATTCGATGGAAAGGGAAACCTGAAACAGCACGTTGCCCATTTTGTTGAAACTTGCAACAACGCAGGGACCGAAAGGGACTACCTCGCCAAGCAGTTTGTGCGCTCGCTGAAAGGAAACGCCTTTGAGTGGTACACGGATCTAGAGCCTGAGTCCATCAACAGTTGGGAGCAATTGGAGCGGGAATTCCTCAACTGCTTCTACAGCACCCGCAGCACTGTGAGCATGCTAGAACTGACGAGCACAAAGCAATGGAAGGACGAGCCAGTCATTGGCTACATCAACAGATGGCGCACTCTAAGCCTTGACTGTAAAGACAGGCTATCGGAAACCTCTCAATCGAGATGTGCATCCAAGGCATGCAATGGGGTTTGCAATACATCCTTCAAGGAATTAAACCATGGACCTTTGAAGAGCTAGCCACCCGCGCCCATGACATGGAGTTGAGCATCGCCCATCATGGGAAGAAGGAACCGATCACCGACTACAAGAACGACAAAGTTCTTGAGACAAATGTGGAGAAGGCTACGTGGAAATCCACCAAGGAAGCAATGACAGTCAACATATCTCCCGTCAAAATCCCTGCACGAGGCAATGCGATTCAAGATGAAGCTTTTCGTGATCAAGAGATGCGTAGACGCACTTTGAAGGAACTTGAGGAAAAAACTTATCCATTCCCCGACTCTGATGTGGTTGCCATATTAAAAGACTTATTGGAAAAGAAGGTGATCGATTTGCCTGAATGCAGACGGCCAGAAGAGATGAATCGCACCGACAGTCCAAGGTACTGTAAATTCCACCGCTTCATCAGTCATCCAACGGAAAAATGCTTCGTACTGAAAGATCTCATCCTGAAGCTAGCACAACAAGGGAAAATCGAGCTTGACCTCGAAGACACGGTTGCGGTACACATTACTACTATCGTGTTTGGATCACTCGATCATGTGCCTTTCCGAAGCATGCATGACCATTCCCGTCAATGTTCAAGTCACACGGCACTTCCTACACAACCATCACCGGGGGCAAGCAACCAAGATGCATCTACCGGTAATAAGGAATGGTGGACATCGACGACCTACAAAAAAACAAGGAAGCCAAGACCACAAGCCACAAGGCCAAAAGAGGAGCGTAAACCCGCCCCTCGAACTTTAGTCTTCGACAGGCTGGATCATTCAAAACCTAGAATTTCGACACTTGATCGCATCAGTGGTCGAAACTGAACTTCCGTCTTCAAAAGGCTTAAGACGCCAACACCGCAAAGATCTGTCTTTGAAAGGTTATCAAAACCCAAGAAACAAAGCGGCAAAGCTAGATCTCCCCCGCAACAGTCGGTTGCGGACAGACTTGAAGAAACTAATAAGTCTTCTAGAAACAGGAAGACAACACCAAAGGGAGAAAAGCTCGACAGTCTAGCAGGAAAAGACGATGTTCAAAGCTTGATTCCTTCAAGGATGAAGCGCCAAACAACTTTGGAAGTCGACACAAATGACCATTGAAGGTAAGGAGGCGCACCATCATCTACACCGGCCAATCTTCACGCCAACAAACCCAAGAGGATTGCACTGAAGAAAAGGCCCAAGAAGACAAAGAAGACAAAATCCCTGAAGAAGACCTCACTTCCAGCTCTGTCAACTTAAAATCTTCACCTCAATCGTTGGGGGCATGCTCCAAAACCATGCCAGTCAAGCCAAGCGAAGTTGAAGGATGGATTCATGTCACTCCGAAGAAACTGCACAAGAAGTATATGTCTTCTCCACAAGTGCACCAATCAGAAAGGGAGCAAAGCATCTTTCGTCAACCTCCAGAACAATGTGAAAGTGTTGGAGATAATGAAACTTTGACACAAAGATCATCCATCCTCATCACGATGTGTGACATCTTTCCTGAAGACTTCTTCAACTACTCAGTCAAGGCTCATTGCTATGAAGATTGCGAGGAACAACTCTCCCGGATTGCTTGACAAAATTCACAAATTCTCCTCGCCCGCACGAGTCTAAACTGCATGGCACAAAGCTCCTGGTCTGCACGAGCATAAAAGGCAACATCAACGCTCCTGGTCTGCGCGAGCATAAAAGGCAACACCAAATGCTCATTGTTTGCACGAGTTGAAACTGCAAACGACATCAACGCTCCTGGTCCGCACGAGCATAAAAGGCGACACCAAAGCTCCTCGCCTACATGAGCCTAAACTGTACATGGCAACAAACACTCCTTGCCTGCATGAGTTGAAACTACAAACGGCACCAAAGCTCCTAGCCCGTAAGAGCATAAACTATGTACGGCAAAATCATCATCAAAATCACTATAAAAATCAGCACTCGACGGGATTTCAGAGATCGAATAGGAGAGCTCAGAATTCGAAGAGGCCAATTCAAAAATCGAAGAGGTGCTAGCTTTCTCAAAAGCTGGGCTTGCTCGAAAACCACGGGCCAATCTTCTTTTCCAGACACGTCAGCACCCGTCACACACAAACTTAGCTTTACAGAAATCACGGGCAATTTGTCGAAGCGCCGATCCTAGATATCGAAGAGGCGCCAGTCTTTTTCAGCCGCGTCAACACCTGTCATATGCACACTCAACTTTGCGCAAATCACGGGCAATTTGTCGAAGATTTTCGGTGAAGGAGAAAACACGTGAAGTTTACTGTTCAATCATCCAACGGTTGCCGACAAGAGTGAAAGAACAGTACCGGTTATTAATCCATATAAATGTCCACCTTCACCCTTCATAGCAAGGCAGACATACAGAACCTTTCTTCATCTCCGAGAATGCTTTCCCAATGAAGCCTCTCGGGTCACTCAGTGTTCCTTATTCCTTGGGGTACCTCTGCAAGCCAATGACTCCAAAGCAAAAGTATTTCATATCACCAGGGTAGAAAGCAAGAGTATCTCATATCATGCGTTCTCCCTGTCCTTTCCTTTGTCCTTGTTCTTACCTACAAAGACAAGGATAAAGAAAACAATATGCCGGAACTTCCACTCAAACTCGGGTAAGGAACCGACTGCTGGGAACCCTTCCCTGATTGCCTACTTAGCACTGCTCTCGAGTACTCGTCTCCCACTGCTGCTGTACTTCCAAAGAAGCTGCCACATCTGCCTGAAGAACAGATAAGGCAAGTGAAAATGATACCTTGCAGCATGTGGAGACAACGTGCAGAAGAAACAAGCAGAGAAGAATGCAGCCTGCACAATCAGCTCAGCAGAAGGGGTCTGAGCTGAGGAACTCAAGAAGCTGCCACATCTGCCTGAAGAAACAAGCAGAGAATAATGCAGCCTGCACAGTCAGCTCAGCAAAAGGAGTCTGAGCTGAAGAACTCGAAAAGATGCTACATTCTGCCAGAAGAATAGATAAGACAAGGGAAAATGATACATTGAAGCATGTGGAGACAAGCACAACAAAGCACGTGCCGATTCATCCGCTACTTCTTCAAAATCAAAAGTATCTCATATCATCAGGGTTGCAATCACTCTGGACGGTGAACTCGTTTTGACCCTCAAATTCTTGGGTCGACTTACTAGGCGTTGTGGGCTGCACATGCCGATTCACCACCCTTGAATCAAATCCTTAAAGATCAAGTCACCAACTGGAAGAAGAGCCCATCAATCTTGAAGATCATACCGTTGACCAAACTGCTCAGGTGTGAATTAGAAAGATTGAACAAAGCAACAAGTCGTCACCTTCACCTTGTGCCTGTTTGCCATGTGTTCGAGTCAACCTTCAAGAATCAAGCCTTAACGGCCCTTGAAGAAGCTTCCAGCCAAATTCAAGATCAAGCCTCGACGACCCTTGAGGAAATCACAAGTCCGATTCAAGATCAAGTATCTACCACCTTTGAATCAAATCCAGTTCAAAAATAAGCTGTGGAAAGTCAACAATTGGAGGAAACCAGAAAATCCTCCAACCCAGTTCAAGAATAAGCTGTGGAAAGTCAACAATTGGAGGAATCCAGAAAGTCCTCCAACCCAGTTCAAGATCAAAGCTGTGGAAAGTCAACAAGTGCAACAAAATACGTGCCGATTCATCCACTACCAAAGCCAAAGATCATCTACCACATGAAGCTCATTGTGGTCCAATTTCAACCTTCAAGATCAAGCCTCGACGACCCTGGAAGAAATTTCAATCAAAAGTTCAAGAACAAGCCTTAAACGGCCATTGAAGAAATCTCAAACAAAGTCCAAGAACAAGCCTCAACGGCCCTTGAAGAAATCTCCAGCCCAATTCAAGATCAAGCCTCGATGGCCCTTGGATCGACATCTACAGTAAGGGACTTCAAAACGCATCTCCTACACGTGACAAGCACATGTATACGACGCGCCTTGAAGTGGGGGCATTTGTAGACATCGAAATTTCGGTAAATATATGTTGACCGATAAATCAAAGTTTCAACGCTCATGTATTACATAGATTTTACACGTAGCGTGTGTCCAAACAAAAAATCGAAATAAGTTGGAAAAGTCATCAAACAGGACACGTGTCAACACCTGGCAGAAATGACTTATTTCATCTGAAATATTATATTCAAAATTAGGCCTTGGAAAATTCTATAAATAGAAGGCTAATTCATTCATTTGGGGGGAACCAAAATCATTAGGCAAAATTCTTGAAGCTCTGAAGCTCTGAAACTCCGTAGCTCTCAAGCATCCAGGTTCCCGAAGAATCAAGAAAGCTCTCTTCGTTCTTCGTTCATCGTTCATCCTAAGATCAAGCCCAAACGGCCCTTTGGATCAACAATCATCCACCAATTCAAGATCAAGCCCCGACGACCCTTGAAGAAAGCTCTCTTCGTTCTTCGTTCATCGTTCTTCCAAGATCAAGCCCCGACGACCCTTTGGATCAACAACATCAACAAATCCACACAACTGTTCATCCTAAGATCAAGCCCCGACGACCCTTTGGATCAACAACATCAACAAATCCACACGTCCAACCGTTCTTCAAGATCAAGCCTAAAAGCCCTTGAAGATCCGTTCATCATTGTTCTTCAAGATCAAGCCCAAAAGCCCTTGAAGATCCGCTCATCACCGTTATTCAAGATCAAGCCTCAACGGCCCTTGAAGAAACACTCATCCTCAAGATCAAGCCCCAACGGCTCCTTGAAGATTCGCTCAAATCCACCTTCAAAGATCAAGCCCACGGCCCTTGAAGAAACTTCCAACAGTTCATCCAAAATCAAGCCTCGACGGCCCTTGGATCAACAAAACATCCACAAATCAACACCTTACGGAGATTGAATCAGAGGATCAAATTAGAGAGAGATTGTAACCCAAAAATCATCAAATACAAATATTATTTTGTGCACGTTGTTCTTGTCTCTTTTGTTTCAGGAAATTTTCGTGTTCACAATAATACTATTAGAAATGGTTGCAATAAAAATATTCAAACATTTTGATTGAATAAATGGATAAAAACTATGTAAAAATAATAAATAATAAATGGCAAAAGAATGTATCCATAGTGTTAAAAAAATTGGTACATTTTTACAAACAAATTGGTACATTTCACATATAACAAAGTGGTACATTAATAAAGAAGAATGGGTACATTAGAAATAAATTAGGGTACATATAAAAGATTAAAAATTATAAATACAAATGAATTTTTAAAAATATAGGCGCTAAAAGAAATTAATACATGTGTACAAAATAAAACTAAAAAGAAAATACTACAAATTTAAAAAAAAAATGTTGCAAATTAAAAGTGGGTACAAACTAAAAATATAAATATATGATACAAAGTTTAGGCATAAAACATAAATATACCATATGTAATTTTTCTATCATTGATTAAATGTCACGTGACGGTATACACATGACTACAAAAAAAATAAAACTTTAAAAAATATGGGCACAAAAAGAAACTAATATATGGGTACAAATTAAAAATGAAAAGAAAATTGGTACAAATTAAAAAATATTTGCAAATTAAAAATAGGTACAAACTAAAAATAAAAATATATGATAAAAAATTTAGCCATAAATATAAATATACTAATTGTAACATTTTTATCATTAAAGGAATATATTTAAAAATAAAAATATTTTATTATTCAAATAATTAATGATTTTATTAATACCCAAGAACCTTGATAAAAAATTGAAAATGAATAGGATTTTAATCAATAAAGTAACAAAAAGAATGATATGAACCTAATTTTCCCTATTATTAATCATGTATTTTACGCAATTTGGAAGCCGTTTTGTTATGTGGATTAGGACATCTTCACAATGCCCTTCATAAAAAATGTTCGTAAATTTTCTAAGTGCAATGTGCAGCAGAAGTATCACCAAGATTTTCCGTTTAGTTTCATTTATTATCAATAAATTTGTTGAAGGAGGAACGGTTGAAGAGTTTCTGAGTGTAACGGTTCTTATCTCTTGGGCAAAGGATAAATGCTTTGCACACGACCATTACTGAAGAATTAATCTCACATGATATTTCTCTATTTGAAGTAAACAAGTATCATCCAAACGAAGAAGAATACTATTGAAATACTAATAACCACAGTTGCTATCACCATCCTCACTCTTAGTAGTTAATTTAAAATCTTAAAAAGATGTTCGTCACCGTCTTCACTACGGAATCACCCAACAAAAAGTAAAAATCCAAAACACTAATCAACCGGTAAACCTCCTCTAATCACACGCTCAAGAGTTAGAACTTAGAAGAGAAGAAAGAAGAAAATTAAGAGAATATATAAAATTACAAATTCAAAAAATAAAAATAAAAAAACGAAAGAGGAGAGAGAGCTTCTTCTTCACACCCTTCAATCCCATCATCATCATCATCATCATCATCAACATCATGATGTTGCTGTTGATTTTGTCCCAACAAATCCCCAAAAAAACAAGTTGAATTCCACCAAACAATGTCTTGGCTCTTCAGCTCTCCCCGCCAACCCGACGACGACGACCCGCGTGATGTAGAACAACCCAACCAACCGCAAAACGACCTGTCGTTTCTCCGCCAAACCCTCGGCCGCCAAATCCGCGGCGTCGCCACCTTCCTCGCTCCACCTCCATCACCACCATCATCGCCATCAAACGACGACGTTCCCTCGTCCAATTCTCTGTCGCAATCGCAGGCGCTTTTGGGAATCCGGAATGATCTGTTGGAGATCGGCGGGAGCTTCAAGACTGGCCTCTCCCTGCTCTCTACGAACAGCAACAAAGCCGTAACCGAGATCTCCAAGTTCGCGTCGAGCTTGCTGCAGCTTCAGAACGAAGCTTTAGAAGAAGGCGGAGCTGCTGATGACGACGGCGATGTTGGTGGAGGTCAAGTGCCGGGGATCACGGACGAAGTTCTCGGTTTCGTTGCCGAGATTTCGGTGTTGCCGGACTGCTGGATCGACTTTCCTATGACGCTCGATCATGGTAAAGTTGCTAACTTCCACTTCAATTTGAATGCAATGGCTTGTTTTGCCTGTTTTCTTTGCGTCTGCTGCTTTACATTTCCTATGAAGTTGTGGATTGTGAATTGGTAGCTGAGGAAGCTTTGAATTTGTTTCGAAGAAATCGAAATTTACTCAGACAGCTGTTAATGCAATCGCTGTGATAATTTTCATGCGGTTTGATTTTCGTGTTCTAATTTTGTAATGGTGGATACTGGAGTTGGTATCGAAGACCTCTGAATCTGTGTGTGCTTGGAATACAAAGATTTACATTATAATTTGAAACAAACTGACGTGACATTCGTGCTGGCAATTTTATGCTGATTGAATTTGAGCTTGTTTTGTTAGCAGATTTCAGCATGACGGATGCTCAGAGAGAGCATGCGTCCGCTGTTGAACAATTGGTTCCGGGATTTGCAGATTTTAGAGTCCGACTTTGCAGTTCCATGAGTGAGGAGCAGTTTTGGATGATCTATTTCTTGTTGCTGCTTCCAAGACTAAATGAACGTGATTTTGAGCTTCTATCAACCCCCAAGGCAAGAAGTTTATCTTTCCCGTCTTTTGTCATGGTTCATATCCATATTTACATGCACGATAAATGCCTATGTACAATTTTCTTTTGAGGACACTTTGGAGATTGACTTTTAACCAGAATTCAGCGCGCCTGTGTGTCTCTTCATAAATTTCATTTTATTATATTTGAGATATTTATTTCAAGGTTCTACGATAACCATTCTAACTGCAGCTTGCACAAGTTAGAGCTCGAGAAATGGGCATGATGTGCTTAACCTGTCACCAGCTGCACTTGTACAACTTCGTTGGATGTTGTAGTTTCTCCAACTGTCTCTCCTTTGCTTGTTCCTCATATTTGTTAACCCTAAGTTTTAAGTAACTCAGTAGCCAATTTTATAGTATCCTAGAACTTTGGACGTGTTCAATTCCACGTTGCAGCTTCGGAGAGTACTTGGGGCAAACCCATTATTTTGAAAATAGAACTCCTTTCGTTGCAGATTGTTGAAGCAAGAGATGCACTTCTGCACAAACTTCAAAACAAGACGAACACACAGGAGGATGCCCCAGAGAAGTCAATTCTCGTTTCACCTAAAAGGCACATCCAGGATGGGAAGACACGAGGGGAGGAAGTCTCATCTCAAGAGAAGGAAGCCTTGACTGAGATAGTTAATATTGCAGAAAGGTTAAAGACCGATGACAAAGAGGGCACTGAGCAGTGGTCTGAAGGGGCAAGTATTAGCTCTGGCACTTTAGTGGATGGGCAAAGAAAACATGAACCTGAAGACGATATCTCATTCAGTGATTTAGAGGACGATGAGAATGACCTTTCTAGCAGACAGTCAGGACTAAGGCAAGGACGGGATGCCAGGGCATGTTCACCTAATGGATCAAATGACTGGGTTCAGCTGAACCAAAGCTCGGAAACTGAGGGTGGCCAGAAAAAGGCTGGTCGGTCAAAAGGGAAAGATTCAGAAGGTGAGGATTCAAGTGACTGGTTTGCGGTAGATGAATACGATTAGACAAATTTGGCTGCAGCTTGCTTGCCAACTTATTGTAAAGTTTTCGTTTCTTTTCGGTTTTTCGGGTTGGGTGGGCTGCATTGTGTACTTATATGGGGTATCAGCATCTTATACAAAGCTTCCTTGTTGAAATTAATAATGCAAATGAAGTTTATTTCAAAATTTGCCTTTTATTAGTATAAAAACACTTGAGTTTTCTGAGTAACAAAGAGGGTGGTTATTTTTGGATCTTCCTTTGTGCAATGGAGGATCTAGATAGAGAAAATTCTGGGCTATTTTATCCTGGGGACGGCATGGCATTGAAGCTGCTTGCATAGCTTGGGTAGAGCTGTGAAACGTCTTAAAGAAAGCGACATTGTCCGTGACTCAATCCAAAACATTCACATTCATTTTGGATCACTGGTAATATTGTTCCTTGTTTAGTTTATACTGCTTCAACAATGTGAAACTGTAATTTGCAAGAAAGTACATGCAGTCAACCAAAAATCCACCATTATATTGCTACTATGAACGAGAGAGCTAAAAAAAACTTCACCTTAGTAAGAAGTATTACTAGGTAAATAGTAAACAAAGAAAGATCCTTAAATCCCGCCGAGCCGATGCCGAAAATCAGATTTCTGGACCAGGCCATAGAGCCAGAAATACAGCTACCATCACCATACAGTGCCACTATAATTTTAGCTTTCTTTCCCCCCCATAACACTTTATCTTGTTGACATAGGAAGGCGGGATCGCGACATTAGACTTGTCAAAATGCAAATTCGGGTTACGAGAACGCTGGACAATCTGAAGCGGGGAAAATTTTCTGCTCTGCAACAATCTGATATAAACAAACGAAGTTTACATTAAACATCTACAACAGCAATTTGATGCAGTGAAGAGAAGATTCGAGGCCAAATGAAACACCGATTTAAATCCCGAGCCTTCGTTGAATGGTGAGTAACTGTAAGTCCAATCTGCAACGAAAGACAAGGGGGAGATAGAAGATAAATACAGCGTGACATGTTAGTTCGTTGAAAGCAAAACCAAGTAACAACAGAGTTTTGGGACTACCTCGGACAACTGCTAAGGTCTTGACATGGGGAAGTTGTTTCTCTAACCGAGTGTAAGTCGGAACCACATTAATTTCCAGCATCATAACATACACTTCCTCCAGATTGGGGACCAATTCGAAAGAGAACTCGATTTCATCACCCTTGTAATGAAAACTGGTAAGGTTGGTGGCATTGAGCTCAATCCCCTTTAACCCTTCGCAGCGGATCACAACCAGTGCCTTCAAACATTGAAGAGAATCACCAATGCACAATCTTTCTAATCCAAAACACCGTTGCAATGTTAAATGCTCAAAGTTCATACAAGAAGAAAACATGTGCGGCTCAACATGTCCAGCAAGATTTACACCGCACAACACAAGAGTCGATAAGGTTCTGAAACCTGTGGTAAAATTTGACTTGAGCATGCATCCGCGCAAGGAAAGACGCCTTAATTTGGATTCTTCGTCATTCAGAAGGATCTGAGCAGGAAAATAGTCGACGCTACTCCAACCAGTGCACTTAGGTGGGTTGTCACAAGTAAAGGCAAGGTCAAGATCTTCAACACCCTTTCCGATGGCAAAATCGATCCAGTCATTGACTTGAAGTCGTACATACTTGGAAAGAAACAGAGAACCTTGAAGGAGACAACCTTCGAACCCAAATGACATGCTAAGAATCTTTCTAACGTTGCTAGAAAATAATCCACATTTCTCCTGAAAATTGTTCCATGGGGCATGACTTGGACTGGCACGTAAACTACGTCGCGCCAATCAAATTCAAGATTTTATGTGTATGCATACATGTTCCTCCACCTACGTGACAATACGCTCGTTCTTACAGCCTCCCTCGTACTCAATAACGAGATTATGGTATGAAGAACATCATCAGGCAAATTACTGATTCCATCCTTGCCAATGGTTTCACACTGCATGAATATAGATCAAATATCAAAGTAATGCTCAAATACTCCTAAAATCGCATAATGTTGTTTCACTATCTGACAATCATCTTAATTTGTTTCGATGAGAATTTTTATTTTTTTAAAACCAATTGACAATAGGAGCGAGAGGCTCAAAATTATTTAAACAACTAAGGCAAAGCTTCATTTTACGACGTGGGACAACACCCAACACTCTCAACTTTGGAAGAAGTACCAAGGTTGAATCTCTGACTACTGATAAATGAAAAAAGAGTTACGAGTTTGTTTGGTATCCTTCTAGAATCCCTTTTTTCTTGTTTTCAAAACCAACAAGTACAAGTAATTTAGTTACATTTATTATTTTTTTAAACCCAACCGAGTTTTGAATTGAATACCAAACAAAGTTTCTAAAAATTTTGAATCAAACCTTTGAAAATTTATTTAATTCAAACATAAATAAATCATTATATATATTTTTAAATTAATAAATAAAAAAGAAAGTACCTTTGTTGGAGGAGAGTGCCCTTGTTCTTCATTGCCAGATGATATCAGGCGCTTTCTCTTCATCTCCAAGAGCTTAGGTTTTCTCATGGAAGGCCAGAAACGCCGCAAGGCCCAAATCTTCATCGGAAAAGTCGAAAAAACCTGCGAACAAACAATTGACCTGTGAATTTGCAAATGTCCGATCCCAACGATGCTAGACTGATCCCAGAGTGTTATTCTCTGGTCTGATAGTTGTCACACTTTCACGTAGGCAGATTATCTACCCTCCCATTTCCCGTGTCCTTCTGTTTTGTGTAGTCACGGTTAAATCACGTCAATATTTTATATTATTTTTTTAATAGAGATAATAAGATAAAAAAGAATAGTAATATAAAATGTTGAAGTGGCTTAACCATGACCACACAAACAAAAGAGCGGCGGAAAGAAAACGATTTTCACATGTCAAGGATACTCTTCTCAGAATCTTTTGTAATTACCAAGGATGCTTTTTTGGTTTTTGTCAAATGGAAATTTCTATTCAACTTTTTTTTTTGCCATGTGTCAAGGTGGAATGACCGTTTTACTCGTGAGAGCGGAAAGAAAACGATTTTCACATTTTCATTTTCGTCAATTACATACTTTTTTTCTTTTTGTGAGAGATATGGGGCTAATGCGCAAAAAGAAACTCCAAAATGGCACAACGCCTAGAAATGTCTAATAAATTGTCATCAAGAGAGGCTTAATACAATCAGGAGGGTCACAAAATACATTGTATAGGTGACTATTGGCTAGTTATATTTACTTTCTTGCATGTAAGTTTTTCTCTTAGTTGTAGTGTTCTTTTGGTGAAAAAAAAAAACACATCCACAATTCACATTTTGCGCTTCGTTGGATAAAAAAGGCACCAAATTATTTGCCCCATTTCTTGTGAAGTAGTCATTCATCACATACTTGCTAAATACAGTTTGATATATTGCATATATTTTTAATGTGACGGAGATTTTGATTTCGGGTTCGTCATACGAACTTCTCGGTTTCGTCATCGGGGAAAGATAAAAACAAAATTAGCTTAATGTGACAAAGAGTAGTAGCGGTTTTATTCTATATGCTATCGGATAAGATAGTTTTGACAAGTAATTTAGATAGTGTCGGATAACAAAACAATATTGTCGCTTATATTAGACATAAACAATAAATGTTGGACATAACGGCACAGCACCCAGGCACCATAGAATTCGGGCTTGAGTCAGCCACCTCGATCGTTCTTCATATCCTTTGTATCAGATGCCTACGCAGCCCATGTCTTATATGCAGTAATCACCGTTTCAGATGCCAAGATACCAACTAGAGATACCTTCTTCCACGCTGACTCGTATCTTTCCATAAATTGTAAATTAATCAATTAAAATGAACTACACATACATATTCTTCCTGAACTCTGGCGAATGTCTTTGATCCTGTTGTGTGGTTCATAGTTTGCTACTACGATTGGCCTTTTTTTTTTTTCAGCCTTCTCCTGAAAAGTAAGGAAAAAAAATGTTGTACAACTCAAGAAAGCATCTACAAATAAACTAAATATCACCGATTTCGGAATGCTCAAGTTGCTCTTCGAATTGTTCATCCATGAGTTCATCATTAATACTGATCTAAAATAAGTGAAAAAAACACTGTTTTTGGTTGAAAAAAAAAAATCAAACATGCATATTTGTAAAAAATCCAGGATAAAGTAAGTTTTGAATGAAGTCACTAGTTTATTATACAAAAATTAAAAAAATATATATCTGAGATAAACTTTCAAGAATATAATTAATCACAAAAGTCTCTTTTATTAGGAATAATCAGAAACGTCGACAGAAAAGAAAATTAATATTTCTCACCACAATATAAAAATTAAGAAAAAAAAGGGAAGAAAATAATGGTACAATTACAAATATAAGTTGGAAAGAGTAAGAAGGAAGAAATAATGAAGAGAAAAAAACTGGAAGGCAGTGGAAAAGCAAAAGTAGAATTGCAGCCGCACCCGTCCCTCTCGCTCTCCGAGTCCTACTCGATATAGAGTTCTCTGGAAAACATGGAATTACAAGATGAAGAGCAGCGGCGTGGGGAGAGTGAAGGAGAAAGAGATGCACGAGGGTTTTGAATTAGGGTATTTTTGTATTTCTGTCGGATTTTGCATAGCCTAGGCTACCGGATCAAGTGATCCAAGTTTTTTAAATTTCATCAAACGGTAAAAAATTATTACAGCTTTTAAGGCATCAAAACAGATGGACTGTTGGATAAAATTTAAAATGTCCGAATTACTTGATCTGGTGAGCTTGGTGGAAGAGATTCAAAGAGATCTCTTCTCTTCCGTATCCAACCGGGACAAAATAAAAAAATTTAAAAAAAAAATCACATCTGACAAGAATACTAAAGGGTGTACACAAGATTACACTAATCCTGTCAGCTACAACTGATAGGACATTTTCGTTAATAAAAATACAATCCGACTTGAATAGTTTGAAAATAATGAAAATACTTAAAAGGAAAATTAGGTTCATATTCTTCTTTTTGTTACTTCATTAATTAAAATCCTATTCATTTTCAAATTTTTATCAAGGTTCTTGGGTATTAATAACATCATTAATTATTTGAATAATAAAATATTTTTTTTAAAAATATATTCATTTAGTGTTAAAAATGTTACAATTAGTATATTTATATTTATGGCTAAATTTTTTATCATATATTTTTATTTTTAGTTTGTACCTATTTTTAATTTGCAAATATTTTTTAATTTGTACCAATTTTCTTTTCATTTTTAATTTGTACCCATATATTAGTTTCTTTTTGTGCCCAATTTTTTAAAGTTTTATTTGTGTTTGTACCCATGTGTATATCTTCACGTGACATTGTATATTTAATCAATGATAGAAAAATTATATATGGTATATTTATGTTTTATGCCTAAACTTTGTATCAGATATTTATATTTTTAGTTTGTACCCACTTTTAATTTGCAACATTTTTTTAAAATTTGTAGTATTTTCTTTTTAGTTTTATTTTGTACCCATGTATTAATTTCTTTTAGCACCTATATATATATATATTTTTTTAAATTCATTTGTACTCATAATTTTTTAATCTTTTATCTGTACCCTAAAAATTCATTTGTAGTATTTTCTTTTTAGTTTTATAATGCACCAATTCTTCTTTATTAATGTACCACTTTGTTATATGTGAAATGTACCACTTTGTTATATGTGAAATGTACCTATTTTTTTGTAAAATGTACCAATTTTTTTAACACTATGGATACATTCTTTTGCCATTTATTATTTCTTATTTTTACATAGTTTTTTATCCATTTATTAAATCAAAATGTTTGAATGTTTTTATTGTAACCGTTTCTAATAGTATTATAATGAGGGATTTTAAATTTATAGAATTATAAATCTCATAAAATATCAAACAATTAATTTCAAAACTATAAAAATATAAATATTAATAGTAATATAACGAGGTGTACAAAGTCAAGGGACTTTGATCAAACTTTGAATACTATTAAGGTTTTAATCAAATAATGTTAAGGATTAGGGACCGCATCCAAAGTATCTCATATTTAAAAGTAAAAAACTATACGACAATAATACAAATGGCGGAGTTGAGAGCGGGAATTTTGCCGCTTCGCTATTCTTGTCAAATAATAATGAGTTAATGTCAGTTATATATATATATATAATATATATATATATATATATATATATATATATATATATATATATCCGATATTTATTGTTTATGTCTAACATAAGCGATAGTGTTGCTTTGTTGTCCGATACTGTCTAAGTTACTTGTCGAAAACGTCTTATCTGACAACATATAGTATAAAATCGTCACCACTTTACCTACACATTGAGATAATTTTATAGTAGTGTAAGCAGCAGTACTCGTACTCAGTACTATACTTGTGTGTGTGTTTATATGTGTACAGTACATATATAACGCGTGCTCCGCATGGGTTTGAGGGTTGTAGACTTGTAGTCAAATCTTTTGTCTCGTGATAAACTTTCTTCCCTGAGAATTTAGGGTTTGGGGTAATTAGTGATAGATAACCATTGTACAATCAAATTACAACGCCTAGAGCCCTGAAAAATACAAACTTACGCTTAAATATTATATATCCAGGCACAGAAAACTAAAACCAAGTGGGGATAATATTTTGTATATATATCCTGATCCGTCAGTGCATGCATATAATCAGTGGTAATATGTGTGTGTGTGTGTGCGCGCGCACTACGATTTGGAATTGGAGAGATATTAGTTAATTAAAAAGTGCTTATATGGGCAAGAAACTATTTTTGTATATTCCTTTTCTATACATGCTCACTTTATTTTTAACATTTGGAATGAATAAATTTAAAATTAATCAAGGAATATAAGTTCAATTTTTTGAGTCAATAGTAGGAATAATTAATCAAGGAATATAAGTCCAATTTTTTGAGTCAATAGTAGGAATAATCTAATTTATTAAAATAAGTCCAATTCTTTAAATTTAATTATTTTATTATCAATAATTATCTCATCAATGAAAAAATTTATTGTAAAAATCAAATTTCTTCCTAATTATCCCTTTGATTATTTCTTTTTATTTATTTTTTGAGTAAATTACATAGTAGCCCCTCAGGTTTGAGCTCTATTGCAATCTCATACAACATCTTTAAAACATTTCACTTTCATACCTCAAGTACTATTTTATTTCAATTTCATACAACCGTTAGATTTTCCATCCATGGATCTGTTAAATGCTGACGTGGCTGCCACATATATGACACGTGGCTGCCAAATGTCTGCCACGTGGCAAATAAAATAATTTTTTAATTTAGTTCTGAGCCCAGAAGAAGAAGAAAGAGAAAGAGAAGAAGAAGAAAGAGAGGGAGGAGAAGAAGAAGAAGAAGAAAAAAAAAAAAAGAAAGGGGTCCGAACCAAAGAAAAGAGAAAAGAAGAGGAGGAGGAAGGAAAAAAAAAAAAAAAAAAAAAAAAAAAAAGGGACCGAAACCCAGAAAAAGGAGGAAGAAAAGAAAAGGAAAAAAAAAAAAAGGGCCCGAACCCAAGAGAAGAAGAAGAAGAAGAGAAAGAGGAGGAGAAAGAGAGAGAAGAGAGAAGAAAAAAAGAAAAAAAAAAAAAAAAAAAAAAAAAGGAGTCCGAACCCAGAGAAAGAGAAGAAGAAGAAAGAAGAGAAGAAGAAGAAGAGAAGAAAGAAAAAAAAAAAGGAGGTGAACCAGAAGAAAGAGAGAGAAGAGAAGAAAAGAAGAAAAAAAAAAAAAAGAAAGGGACCAAACCCAAAAGAAGAAGGAGAAGAAGAAGAAAAGAAGAGAAAGGAGGAGGAGGGAAGAAGAAAAAAGAAAAAAAAAAAAAAAAAAAGGAGGTCCGAACCCAGAAGAAGAGAAAGAGAAAGAGAAGAAGAAGAAGAAAGAGAGAGAAGAGAAAGAAAGAGACAAAAAAAAAAAAAAGTGGAAGATATGTTTTTTTTTTTAAAAAAATTAAAAAATTATTTTATTTGCCACGTGGCAGACATTTGGCAGCCACGTTCATATATTGGCAGCCACGTCAGCATTTAACAGATCCATGATGGAAAATTAACGGTTGTATGAAATTGAAATAAAATAGTACTTGAGGTATGAAAGTGAAATGTTTTAAAGATGTTGTATGAGATTGCAATAGAGCTCAAACCTGAGGGGCTACTATGTAATTTACCCTTATTTTTTTGTTATTTCTTGTTCTTCCTTTGCTTTATCCTATTTATAGATTTTATTTTAATTTTTATAATCAACCTATATTATAGGTTAATTGTATTTATCTACCTATATGACAGATTTTTTTCATAGTCAACCTGTCACATATTTAATGTGTTTTGCTTGTAGGTATTCATTCATAAATTTGCTACTTATGTTAGAGTATAATGTTTTATAGATAGATTTATGTTAGTATATTAGTTTTTTTGTTATAAGATATTAATTAGATATTTTGGAGTTGAAAAATGCATAATATTAAAAGATTTTAATTGATTTTTAATATTTTTGGAAAAAATTAAATGAGTATAAAAGAAATAAATACATATAATTAGATAACTTGACTCACTCCTAAAAACACTTTATGATTTTGGACCTGGATCTAAAAAAATGTAAAGTAAAAAAATACAATGTGCGAAAAATCATAGACACTTGGCAGTGGGACAGGAGACTGATCACATCAAGACGAGGGAAGCAAAATCACGGATACCACAAGCAACCAAAACCATACAGCTAGGTAGCTGCATCTGCATATGCTTTCTCAATTCATGTCCATTCATTTAGTCACGGACCATAATATACAAAGGGAGAGAGAGACTAAAACTATTGAGACCCATGAAACATATATAGTTGCATGCATAACATGCCTTTGATATATATAACTTAACTTTCATCCCCACCATGCATTTCAATTTGCATCCTCTAGCTCTTAACACTTTTCTCTCTCCATTCCTCAACCACCATTTCACATGCTTGCCTGCCTGTACTGTGTTTCCTAAAATCTACAGCACCACCAGTACTCTCTCTCTCTCTTTCTCTCTCTGTACGTGCACGTATCATCCTGTTGTCCAGTTCATTTGACTGTGACCAAGCAAGAGGCTCGGTTTGGACTTAATTGAACTTTGAGCTCCTAGTAGGCGTTTTGTTTACCACTTTGGGACGCACCAAGGTACTTGCGATCACAATCGGTTCAATCATATTTATATACGTTCACTCTTCATGCATGCGTAATCACCGTCCACATAATCAATAAATAATCAACCATTAAGTCAAAATATTTGCCTTACCAATCGTAAATTAATAAATGGGATATACTATTTGTGCTCCAATTGATAATTAATTTAGGAAAAAAGAAAGCCACATATATATGGGATTTCGTACGCACACACATGCACCGCTATATATAACAGCATGTGGTCAAAGATAATATAAACTAGGGATAATATTTTGGGGATGGTCACCAAACACATGCAATTTAAATTATAATAAACTATTATTACGATCTAGCTAGTAATATTTCTCTTCACTAGTAAATGAAGAGTTTTAGGTTTGACTCTCATAAATGGCATGTCTAACACCATTTTATTATCATAGACCTATTGTATGGCTTAACTCAAATCTCTCAACCCTTAATGTAAATAATCATTGACGCAAAGAAAACCAATCATATAAATAAATGTAAGTTTATAGGAGGGATATGCAGGAATTGCATAGAAGAGAGAAAACGAAGCACAGAAAGGGGTTGAATAACACTTGTGAAACTAGTTTAGGAGAGAAGAAATATAGAGGGGTCAATTAATTATTTGACACAAAAAGAAGTATACATTACTGGGAAGGAGATAAGATATCAGTTCACATTACTGCAGCTACAAATCTTATCACATTTCATAGATATACATCTAGTCACCTCCAAATCGAATATATGTCCAAATTGAAGAAATGTATAAAGAAAGATGCTCTTTGCACATGGTAAAATGCACTCATATCACTTAAACCCATTCCATCAACACGTGAAGATAAAAACAGCAGGGCCGGCCCTCAGAATTTGAAGGCCTTAGAGGAGATAGATATACAAACATGCTATTCTAATCTAATTTTTTACATCAAATATCATTAAAAATTAATATAAAAAGAAGATAGCGATATACAAACATTACTTAAATATTACATCTCACATTTTAGATACAAATGTACTAAATGTTGGTAGTGAGTCTAAGATTGAGAGTGAAGAACAATAAAAATTTTGATCAAGAGAATAAAGAACAATAAAATTTGATTGACGAATATAATAAATTCAACAACGCCATTTGTATCTCTTGTGTTTTTTTCTAAACCATTTAATAATAAATTATTGAAAAACAAAATATAAATTCAAAGTTTTGTTTACCTTAAAGTACAATTTTCAAGACCATGTGATAGTTGATTTAAACATTCGATAGAAATTGAGAGATTTGGAAGTTGAAAGACAAAAAGATTAAAGTACAATTTTCAATACCATGTGATAGCTGATTTAAACATTCGATAGAAATGAAGAGATTGAAAGTTGAAAGAAAAAAAGATTGCAAGGGGACTTGAGTTTTATAACTTTATTTGCATTTGGACACATGGATTAGGAGTAAATTTGAAAAGCAAGAAAAAAATTAGTGACTAAAAAGGCAGCTCCATGTTTTGAACTTAACACCCCAAAGAAAAGGAAGCCGAACATGTCCCCTGCACCAACAAATGAATTATGATTTTTCTTACTTTTTATGTATTTATATGTTCATTACAGGATGTATAGAATTTTTCGGGGCCCCTTCAAAGTGAGGGCCCTAGGTGGGCGCCTACATAGACTACCCTCAGTGCCCACGTGCACAAGTGGGCGAGGCCACTAACCCAATGTTAAATCCTGGCCGGAATTTGCTCCAAAAATAAGTTTAGGGTTAAAACTCATGTTTGGCTCAAGGGTTGTAGCAAGTTGGGATGAGTTTAAAACATAAAATTTGATTTTTACTCCAAGAATTAAAGTAGTTCCTGGAGTATGTCTTACTAGGTGTAACTTTCTTTTTTGATTCAATAAAAATTTTCTTATACCATCGAGGTTTCTTTAAAATATTAAATAAAAATAAAAATAAACAAACATTTTCATACGTTGCAACAAAAAAGACCAGCCAAGGTTTTACAGAGAACATGCATGCAAGCTACCCATATTTGATCCGAATTAGGATCCTATCTGGATTCTCTTTTTTGAGATTTAGATAATCAATCAATCGTGTCGGTTTATCGTATATCGTGCGGCTATAAATCATTTTGAATTTTTTATTATTTAAAATTGAACACAAACAGTACTTAATGAAAACTGACCGCACGATGTACGATGAACGAACATGATTTTGATTGATCTTCAGATCCCCACAAAGAGAATCCGGAGAGGATCCTCATCCATTGGATCCAACCTGGTCCCCATCAATCCCAAGATCACCAAAAGCTTCATTAATTAGTTTCATGCATGCATGCATGATCACTATCTCAGATTTTTTTTCACGATTGTAGTTTAACCAGGAAATTCCTTCTAAGTACATAAAATATAAATATCCATGATTATGCATGTAAATAGGAAGGTCATCAGAAGAAGCAGATGAGATGTGCTTTTCCACAAAATCTTCGAGCTTAAGTGATTTTATAGAGAAACATCTCATGTGCCTTTTTCTAGAAGTGATTATTTGGGTTTTGAATAATCAGCCGTTTCAAAGAAAACGGAATCATGATGAACTACATAGAAGCATAATTTGTTGTCAGATATGCATATTTTAGAATTTTAGGATGTTTTTGGTATTTTACCATTTGTTTAATTTGTTTCTTATTCGAACTCCTAGAAAGTTTGGAGCTAATTAAGAGACATTATATATAAACCACCTTTAGGATGCTAGGATTTATCACCCTTCATATTATCAATAAATTGTGAGGTTCTCTCATATTTTATATATTTTCGATTTCAATTTACTCGTGTAATTGCAAATGGATTCATGCAAATATAAGGAATAAGTTATGCCAACTAGAGTTTTCCAAAAAAAGAAAAAAAGTTCATGCCAACTTGCAAAGTTTGACAGCTGCTTTTGAGCTTAGCTGCTTGCCCCCATGTTCACGTGATGTGCTTTCTAGGGTTTTTTGTTTTCTTCCTGTAATGTTAGAAAGATAAAATTTGTAGAAAAAATTTATAAATTAAATAATGTGTTACCGATAGGAAATAAGCACGTTAATCAAAACTTAAGTTATAATCTAATCATAAACTTTCAGGTCATTTAATTTACAAAATTTAGACTATACATTTAGTTTCCTTAGCATTACCTCATTTTTAACTAAATTTGATAAACTAAATGATGTGGTTGTTATTAATTAGATTATTACTTAAGTGTTGATTAACGTGTTTATTTACTATTGATGACACGTTATTTAGTTTGTAAATTTAATTTAAAATTTTAGTGTCCTACCCCGTCACTATTCCTATATAACTCCCTCGTTTCACTCCAAACCCTTACCACAGCAGCACTCTGCCACTCTCTCTCTCTCTCTCTCTCTCTCCCTCCCTCTCTTCAAAGAGAGACAGACATGGCGGAATCCAGCAAGCTCCATGCTCTCTTCCTCATTTGCTTGCTCTTCATTTCCTCAGCCTCTCCAATCCTCGGTTGTGGCTATTGCGGCAAGCCAAAGCACAAGCCTATGAAACCTACCAAACCTCCCAAAGGCCCCATAGTCATTCCACCCATTCATGTCAAGCCACCTGGCGTCAAAGTCCCTCCAGTCACAGTCCCTCCCATTGTCAAACCACCAGTCACAATACCACCCATTGTCAAACCACCAGTTACAAATCCACCAAGTCCAGGGACACCATGCCCTCCACCTCCAGGGAAACCTAGTCCGGCTTCCAAGGACACATGCCCCATTGACACATTGAAACTGGGTGCTTGTGTGGATCTTCTAGGCGGGTTGGTCCACATTGGGCTGGGTGACCCGGCAGTGAACGAGTGCTGCCCGGTGCTGCAAGGGCTTGCTGAACTTGAAGCTGCAGTGTGCCTTTGCACAACTCTGAAAATCAAACTTCTTAACCTCAACATCTTTGTCCCACTGGCTCTTCAGCTCCTTGTCACTTGTGGCAAGAATCCTCCTCCTGGTTACACTTGCTCTCTCTAGAACAAGACATTTGGGTAAGTACTTAAGTTAATCATTAAGTAATTACTTAATTAGTGCTACGCACTTGCTTACATTATATTTCAAATCCGTTGCCCTAACTTGAAACATGAACTTTATGGGGTAGGTGGATTTTTTATTATATTCTTGTTTTCACAAAGTTATATTTTGTTTTGGAAAATGTTACTAACAGCCTAAGAAAAGTCCTATTAAAATTTAAACATATAAAATAATCATAAAATAATTTTTTTATTATTAAGAGTAACTTTTTTTGTTTATAATAATCATTCCTAGATCGCTATAGGCTAGGAAGTTGGAAAATGAGTATTCTTTTAGGGCTCCAAAAATCCAAGCAATTTTGTTCTATCTGAAGCAACAAAAACATCCCACACTAATATGTCATAACATATATAATTATTAATTAAAGAGGAATTTATTAATAAAATTTCTCTCTAGATCTATCTTTAGCTATCGTAAACAAAAAAAACACACTTGCACTGAAATTTTCTCTGATGAACATTGTCTGATCACAGAATTTGTCATGATTTATGGCATTGCAGGTTGCTAGATTGATGGATCCAAAGAAGGAGCTAGGGAGGAAATAATCGTCATGAGAGGATGTCGAGCCTCCCCTCCCTACGTCCATTTGTTTCACGTTCCCCCCAAACTTTTCTTCTTTTGATTATTAATGGTATTGAGCTGATGTTAATTTGGATGTGATATTGTACACACCATTTGTTTTTAATTATCAGAAGAGTGTTGCATGCATGTGTGTTTTATCTCAGGAATGCAAATGAAGCAATCAAAGATGCTTTTATCTTATCTTTTAATCTTATATATGTCGTACTCGATCGATCGATTCCTTTCCTTTTTCTTTTCTACATTTTCCAATTGACGTCGCATATCCTTATTATTTGAACGGGTTACAACATATTACAACATTTAGATCACGTCATTATATAAGGATTTCAAATTCCAAACTTAACCTACTTTATATTCAGTATTCATTGCTCAACACCGGATACTAATCTTAATGACAAATTGTGTCCTTGTAATTCTAAATTGTGACTTATTTATGTAAGGATTAATTTGGGATTGATATCATTAATTTGACCTAAAACACAATGGATGTAAATTCAGATTCGTATTAACTCAATCATATTGTGTTCACGAGCTAGCTGTGTCAAATATTGACAGCCATATGTATACTAGAAATTTTGACTTTACCGACAAAATGAATTTGTCGGTAAAGATTCTTTCACGACGAAAAAATTTGTTGGCCATTTTGTTGCGCAAGACTTTAGCCTACAAATTCAACATTTCGTCGGCTATGAAGTGGTTCTTTCCCAACAAAACATATTTCCTCGGCATTCTTAAACCCCAATAGAAAATTCTGTCGGAAAATGATTTTTAAGCCTACAAAATGCACCATTTTGCCAACAAGATGTGTTCGTCGGAAAATATATTTTTTCGGCATTGCCTTACTCTACCGACAAAATTAACTTTGTCAGGAGATAATTTTAATTTATAAAAAATAAATAAATGCCTGAAAACACAAAAAAAAAAATTCTAATAATGCTACTTTGATTAGTAATATGTATATGTACAGTGGTTATACAAAGTATTATATTATACAATAATCCTATCCTACTCTCATTCCTCAGTATCGGTTTAGCAATAGCATCGCAGTAATATCCTGCAAAAATAATACAAATGGTAATTATTATGTATGACAACATAAGAAAGAGCATCCTTAAAACCGAAACAATCAAATTGTAGCTAGGAATCTTTCTATAAGTAATAACATTATGGAGTTGCACTGATTCACACTACATCATGAAATAGATATATTCAATTGAAAATACTTTAATGCAATCAACATCTCAGACCACCTACCATTTGAGAGGTACTCTTTAGTCCCTTAATAAGATGCAAATCAAAATGAACGAAAGAAGGTACAAAAAGTTACGCAATAATAATTATTAATAATTAAAAGATATTCAACTCTGGGATTAATTAGTAAGAATACAAAGAAAATCCTCAAACTTAAAAAATTTCTCACAACTTGATCAAAGGGGTGTGCTATCCACACACCCCATTTTACTTATCACACACCCCTTGATAATTTATGTCCGTTGATCTTCTTCAATTTATCCGATCCGACGACCGAAAATTAAAAAGGTGCGTGCAAAGTAAAATGAGATGTGTGGATATCACATCCCTTGATCAAATTGTATTAATGACAACAGTTGTAACTTATTGGGGAATCAAAATTGCTTACACAATGCTCCTTGCTCATGTCTAGCGTAGACATAATCAAACTATTCATTCATGTACTTAGAATAAACACAAGGCAAAGAAAGCAAAATATACAATATATTCCTAGTACGATCAAACTTACCTGTACAAATCTCCTTACTCAGTGTGTTCTTCACAATTCACAATTGAGGGACAAAATATACAATATATTCTTGGCATCAACTGAATGGGAGAGTAACATAAGTTAGCAACTCATAAGAAAATGTAATAGAGGGATAATTTATACGATATACTTGAGATAAAATTCATCATCACTAGCCTCATAAGCAAGTGCAACTATATTAACTTGAAGCACACACACCTGGAATAAAAATAACAAGACTAATTTAATAGTATTATTATTATAATTTTGATGAAGACAAGACTAAGTTAATATGGACTTGCACTTGTCAAACCAAGCTATTAAAAATCTTTCGAAAGAAGAACACTGGACTTGCACCTATTTTAGTTTAATAAAACCACATATAAGCCAATCAAAGGACTTGCACACCAAAACCCCCAAAATAGTACCATAATTTTGCAATGTGCAGGGAATATATCAAACAAAACTTAAACCACAGTCAAGCCCCATCTATGTAAAACAAAATAAGAACCCAAACCACAACCAAAATCTTTAAAATCGATAGAGAGAATCGTACAAAGAACCGATAGCGAAACTGCACCAGCAACGGAGAGCAGCTGACATGGTGGTAGACGAGAATCACTGCTAGGATGGTCAATCCAAGAAGAGCAACTAAGAAGGGAGATAGCAATGGGATCCAAATCCAGGGTGCGGCAACATTGTTATTTTTCCTTGTTTAGATTAAATTTTTTTCACTAGGTTGCGATAGTTGATAAGCTCTAAAAACCAACAGTTTTATCTTTTTTTTTTTCGTTTTCCCAGCACTTGAAAAACATTAACTTTTAAGAGAGGGAAACATCCCGCCTTTTTTAATAAAATGTACCGACGATATTCTCGATCAACTAATAGATATTTCTTCGGCTAAACCTACTACTATTTATTTGTCTGCTTAAATCTATTAGTTTCTAGCCGATAATTCAAATATTTCGTCCGGACAGGAGTGCCGACAAATTTTTGCTTTATTAGTTTAAAATTTGTCGGCAAAATAATATTTTCTAGAGAGCTGGCTTCTTTGCTCTCCCACTTCCCATACACTCTCATCCCCTTCTATTTGTACGGTTACGGTTAAGCCACGTTAATATTTTATATTACTATTGTTTTTTGTCTTATGATTTTTATAAAATATCAATATAAAATATTGACGTGGCTTAACTATGATCGCATACAATACGAGGGATTTAGAATGTATGAGAAGTGGGCCGGCAGAGAAGTGGGGTCTATTTTCTAGTAGGCATGCAATCATGCACGTAAAAGCACCTGGTTTTGGGATTCCTATGGGCCTTGAGGAATCCAGCTTTTTGCTAATCAGTGCTGTTATTGTTTCAACTTTCAACAAAAGAAGAAAGAGTGATAGACGTCTTCAGTCAGTTCAACTTCCGCGTACATACACAGTGGCGCTGTAACTTATAACGACAAGGTAGGTGGGGCGAGGCTTTCTCTAACAATTTTTTCTGATACGTGTTAACTTTAAAATTCAGTGAGTGGAGACCGCTCGTTACAGAACATGTTATGAAAGTTCACTTTTATCTTTACCCTAATGGGTGATAGAGGAGAAAGTCTTAGAGAACTTTAATAAAAAAGTTCTGATATTGTTTATTTTAACGAAAAATCATTTTTTTATACTAAAAAGTTAATCTTGTTACTATTTATTTAACCTTTTATTTTATCCTTATCGTTAAATCTCAAAATTTTTAATTTTTTTTCATTAATTTTCCTAAAATTTTAGGTTAAGAAACCGAACCACCTATTTCGTCCGGCTCAGACTCTAAAAAATCTCTCGTGACCCACCACATTCTGATTTGAAGGCCACTACTACCTAATGTTTTGACTCCATCCTCCATCCGCTCACATCATTCAGATTGGGAGTGCCGTAACATCTAGTGAGAGAGAGAGAGAGAGAGAGAGAGAGAGAGAATGCTGTAGCTTAATTAGAGTAAAGTTAACAGTAGTACAGTACCCAGAGATGATATAAAGCATTATATTTTACTGTAACAAAGTGTCACCGATTATTTGTGGCTAGTAATTTTAACGCTCATATTTTAGTAAGGTGGATCCACGTACCTTTGGCTCACCTCTGCTGACCCAAGGTGGACTTGCACAATTTCTTAGCCAGACGTGGTTAAAATTGCTACTTTTATTGTAGAACATAACTGAGAGAGAGAGAGAGAGAGAGAGAGAGAGAGAGAGAGAGAGAGAGAGAGAGAGAATGCACCCATAAGAACTAACAGATATTCTTTCAGCTGTGTACTTAATTGATTATATTCAAATTCTTGGTGGGGTAGTTTTTTTGTTTTTACAAGAAGCAATACCAATATTTCATTGATCAATAGGAAACAATTACAATGGGTGAACAAACAAAAGTAAAGAGTAAACTCCTACAAGGCACAAGCACAAGCACAGCCGGTTTAACACTGCCAAAAAATGATAGACGCAACATACTTATACCGGAGCACACACAATTCCGATTCCAGCAATCGATACCATGTCAAAACTATATCCGGGCAACAGACATGGTGGTGGGGTAGTTTATTATTAATCAACAATCAAGAAAAGAAAAGGGATATACCATCACAACAATATCCCAGTAAGTCTGGCCCTGGAAATGGGCAACAACACAGCAGGGATTAAAGTAGAGGAGGAGAGCGAGGGGACCAGTCAAATCTGTTGCACATGGCCATATCAACATGGTTCGCCTCCTATATATCACCATCATCATCTTATCTCAAAATTAAAAAAAAATAAAAATAAATAAAAGATCAAAGAAATATCTAAGTGCATCGTCGTGTCGCATGTGTTGATTGGTTTATTATTCATTTCTCTGAATTCTATAGTATCAATGCAGTACACACAGGAATGTGAATGTTTGATCAATCCTCATCCACATCCACATCCACATCCACATCCACTTGTATTATTGGACTGTAAGTGTCTGACCGCACACACAAGACATTGCCCCTCGTAGAGGCGTCCAAACAAATGAATCTCTCTAAATATCACGGGGGGTCATGGTCGTCCATCCGCTTGGACTGGAGTGTACAAACGTCCGGCCCACCCAAGTGTCCGACCGCACACACAGGACATTGCCCCTCGTTGAGGCGTCCAAACAAAAGAATCTCTCTGGATATCATGTGGTCGTGATCGTCCATCCGCACACACAAGACATTGCCTTGTCAAAGAGTCATCTTGATCTTGTGGTCCAAGATTCCTCAAGGACTGATTTAGCAGTGTCTTAATTAACAATCTCCAGAGCATTAAAACAAATATTCATTCAAAGGGAAGCAAAAGCTAAGAGGACACCAAAAAACATCAAATGCTCAGTAATACATGCTAATGAGCTTAATTAGGCTGCATAATCGTCCACATTTGGACATTCAAATCGACAGAAACAGACTAGAGTCTAATGGTGGAATCAATACTACAAGAATGACAATTTGCAAGGGAAAAATGACTTCAATGTTGATACGGAATGAATAAACATTTTCAGTTCCTTTCTCTAGAACAACACATGAGATCTAAGCTAGCTAACTATGTTTAACCAACTCGATTAGCCGCTAAAACACAAATCTAATCAGAACAACTACATCTCAAAGTGTGACCAAAAGGTGGGCTTCCGCACTAACCAAAACACAGCCCCCACCACCAATTAATAAGCCCTGCCCAAAATATGAAAATTTCAAAAGAAAAGAAAACAGAAAAATTTATTTCTGAATCGAACTATATTATATGGTACCAAACAGAAAAATATATGGTACAAATCCTACCCCTACTAGCTTACCATTGAGAGGTGGGCCCGGATGTTACAATAATCCACCGATACTATGATCAAGAAGCTTTGTTCAATGTCAATCCGCTTGGTACAAATGTGATTCGACTACAGTGTTTCAGCTTGGCAAGAGCTTCCTGTGACTGACCGACCTTGAGATCCACATACACTGCAGTCAAAGTCGCTTCTGGACTGTTGGGTGTTATGGACAATGCCTGTGCAACAAACTGGCGAGCCTGGTCAAGTTCACCTTGCATAGCGTACAAGGCAGCAAAATTTACGTACAGGTTTGCCTGTGCTTCTTCTGGCTTGAGGAACGCAATACCTAATCTGTCTTCAGGTGATGAGTTTCTGGCAGCCATTGATCCTCCGTTCGACTCTTCATAATCATCGGCCCTGACCCCTTGCAGTTGTTCACAGTCCTCTTCACTGAATGGTAATTCAACGTCGTTACCACCTGACAAATATGTCATCAAATGGTCAGCAGCATCCTTTAGCCTGTTTAGCAAGCAAAGAGCCTCTGCAGCATACACATGACCTAGAAAGATGTAAATTCTCGAACATTCTGGAAGTTCCAAGAGAGATCTTGCAATTGACAAGGCCTTCATGGGATTTTCCAATTCCAATTCTACATATGCCAGATTTGCCAAAAGAGCTTGTTTGATCAACAGATTTTCCTTGTTACGAACATCAGCGTAATATGAAAGCGAGTTCTGCACAAGCTCCTGAGTGGTTCCTGCCTTTTGCTCTTTTCCATCCCCATTTATGCCAACCTGACCCAAGCCTACAGATAGCACAGATGCCTCGGAATTCATGCTGTGAAAGTTCTTGTGGTTCGAATTCTTGGAAGCTGACACTTCCCCTAATTCATTATCTTCTAAGAAGAAATTGGAGGGCAAAGAATTCTTACAGTAGCTTGACTCAGAACGGTTCAGTAAGGACAGGGCATTCAAGAGACACTGCCGGGCAAGGGACACGGAGAGCTTAGGCTGCCGATCACTGCCCAAAAATAAATCGCCTCTTTCAAAAGAACCCAAGTTTCCATTCTTCAAAACCCCATCTTCCATTACAAGTTGCCTCCACTTTCCGTTGCCAATGACATAAACTCTAACTTCTGATGATGCCAGATTGGTTTTCATTAGTCCCTTCTCCAAAGCCATCAGACAGCACTCAGCAAATCGAAGCCACAGCAGAGGCCGATTGTAGAAAACTAAACCAGCCTTCTGAAAACAGCGAGCAGCAAGTAGTGGTTTCCCACAAGCCAAGTACTGCATACCACAGTTGTATACGATTAAGAGGGAATTGTCCTGTGAAAAAGTTGAGAGATTTAGAGGCCGGTCCTTCCGGAGGGATGAGCAATTAAGCAATGCATTGGAGAAGAACACTGATGATGTGTGATATTTCCCAAGCTGGTAATAAATGCAGCCTAGATTATTGTTGATCATGCTCGATAACCTTGTGTCTGTTCGATTACTAGATGCCATCAACAACTTGATGGCTTTACGATAATTACCACGAGCATATTCAAGCTGGGACTTCAAAAGGAGAGCCATAGAAGAATCTCTCCCACGTGCAATATTCATAGCATTCTTCACTTCACGTTTAGCTTGCTTTAAGTTCCTAGTGAGAAGCAGAAACTGAACCTTGTAAAGTTGCATCTTAAGCTTCAGGTAAACAGAAGAGGCAGATATGTCAACCGGATTCCTAGAAATATCGTTTGAAGATAATAGAACAGTAGGTTGTGCATCATCCATGTCAAAATCTGCATTATCATACTCGCTAGTCTCCTCAGGCTCCAAAGCATTTGGATCTGAATCTAAAGTAGGACCATCTGTGGCAGATGAATTGGTAGAAAGGGATGGCGGCCTTGCAACTGGGTTTGCAGGTTGTTGCAAAGCAGTGCTTCCACCATCTCCTTGATTCATACAACTCACACCAAAAGCTTTATCCAGATAAATCAAAACATCCTGAATAAATGGAATTACACTAAGAATTAGTTGGGAATCAAATCAACAGAATACAAACATAGCATGCTTATCTTTACCCCAACGTAGCTAACCACTAAAGGAGCCCCCTCTAATTATAGTGCATAACGAAGCGGGACTCGACGCATGCTTGGACAATTCATACACAAATGAACAGAACGATTGAATCACTATTGAAAAAATCATAACGATAGAAGTTCTTTGACCATACTTAATAGTAGCATCTATATTGCTTTTGCAATTAGTAATAGGCTCAAACTTTAACCTCGCCCAAAAATAATTACATTCCCAACAGCCAACATCAAGAATTTAACCCAACAGATGCTTATTTACATTTGGTGGGCTGCTTGTTAACCTCTAAAGTAATTCAAATGTTCTATATTAATTTTTAACAGAAGGTATAAAGAAACAAATAGCATTCCAAAAAGATGAGCTCTCCTCAAAACCTGATGAGATTGATGTCCAAAAATAAAATAGTAGTTTTTCACAAATTAAAGATAAAACAAAAGGTAAAAATAATACAAGTTCAGTTACAGGTAAAGCACTCGCAAAATCAAGCTATAAGTTAGATAATGCTTGAGAAAAGATCATCAAACCGTACAACAAACATCACCCATCCACATCAAAACAGGCAAGTTGAACACTAGCTTACAATGTTATCTTCAACCAATGTACACTATACTTGACAGACATAAAAACCATTCTATCCCAAACTACTATCAAGAAGACAATTTTAAAAGAAAACTGACATAAACCCATTGAATGCACAAAATTCAAGATGAACCAAGGTGGAAAATCACAGTGCAATTAAATGGATTCTTTTTTTTTTTTTTCAAAAAACAACACAAAACGACAGATTACAATCAAAGAAAAATTAGTACCCTTTCTTCCAGTAAACCAACTTACGAGACATATATCATCAATCAAAGAATAATTCATAAGTGATCATTGCTTCTTTCTTACACTGTTCTATCAACAACAAACAAATAGAATTTAGAAGAAGGCAAACATTCCTCCTCTTCCATTTGGGTGTAGAGAAGGAGGATCACCAGCTTGATACTAAGGTAAAGGCTTCAGCACACATATAAAATTCAACAGTACCATGCCTTGAAAACAATGGGTGAACTAAATGACCACCATGCACAATTATAACAAAAGCAATTACACACACTATTAGTATTAGTACTTACAGCAGATTTCATTGCATCATGGCAAGCCAGCCCAACATCCAGCAACAAAAGGCAAATATTAAGAGCAGTTTTCTGCATACAAATAAAGAAGCACTTAACACAAAATTACAAGTACAAAAAGAATATAATTTTAGGTAATAATTAATCTACCTCATCTATAGGTCCTCTATTTTGAAAAAGAGGTTCAACAACAGACAATGCCTTTGCATATTCATGAAGATGGAACCAGATAACCGCCTGCATAAGCACAGAGTTCCAACAAAAAAATCTACTGAATTAGAGAAAGTTAATTGTTGGATACATATAATCAACAGTTAACACAGAAAAAAAAATGAAAAGTTAACCATGACATGATGAAGCAACATACAATGTTTAAGGTAGCAACATAAGTGTCAAATTCATCCATGTAAACAGCAGAAAAGGAATGTCCCATTGCACCACTTCCTTTGGACCCCAATGCAACTTTATCTCCAGTATTGCTGCCAGACTCCACCTGTTCTGCAGATGTTCGAGCAAGCTCTTCGCTTCGCTTCTAAACCAACACCAATTAGAAGAAATTAGAATAGAAGTTAACATGAACTTATCATATTGATGTAAATAAAAGCTCCTGCATAATGCTGGTGCTTGTCTAAATACCAAAATGCAAATTACTGTACTAACCAAATGATTGTCCCTACATGCTAGCTCTAGTAATCTTCATAGTTGCTACAATTCAGTACTACCAAGTAAACCAAAATTATAATAAATGGAATTCAATACTACCTAACTAAAGTTCACTTTCAATTTGATATGCTAGTTTCGTGATTTGATGTTTCCTTTATTATTTATTTTTTGGAGATGAAAGAACAACAAATACAATGAATAAAAAACTCCTAATCATAAGAATTCTAACTTATGTCTGATTTTCACTTTCTATCTTATTATAGAGGAGGACAACAAAGCCTTATCTATTCCTTTAAAACTTAAAAGATTATTCTCAGCACCATTCCTAGAACCTCGAGAATACCAAAATCATCATTCAAATAGTTACCAACTCTGATGGAAAGCCCAGAATTATAACCTTGCTAAATAATATGAACTTGCTAATCATCAGTAGCCCCCTTTAACAGACTCACTACATAGTTAAATATAATTGTATAACACAGTCAATAAAGTTTCTAAGCTTCCAAAAACATTGTTAGTCAACATATACCATATCTAGCTTAAGGTTCAACTCTGCATGCTTCTGCATGGCAATAGTTCTAAATTGTTCCTTAACTTATAGTTCCACGTCCAACAACCTCTTAACCCTCTCTCAACAAAGCTTTTTGTTCCTAAGTAAGGTTCTAAAAGACGTTAGGCGCTAGTCGGGCGGGGGGCGGGGGGCCGGGGCCTGGGCCTAGCGCCTAGGCGGACTAGGTGGATTTAAGTAAATTTGTTATATACCGTATAAATAATTGTCTGTTTAAACTTAAAAAAATACATAATTCCATTGGAATACGCAAATTGCAAAATAGAATGATATATAGATTATAAAGTATTAGAACATAATGAAAACATGGAGAACCAGCATATAATGTGTGCTCATCTAAGTATTTAACAAGTCCCTTACATTTTATGGAAAAAAATAAAATGCAAAATGAAATTTATTTATTTTCTGCCTAAGTGAGAGTCACGACCTATGCAGGTCTGGGCGGGCTAGGCAGGCGCTCTTTCTTAATTTCAAACGCCTAGGGAATAATCGAGGCGGTGGCCAACCGCCGCTTAGGCGGGGATTTTTAGACAGATAATACCTTAGACATCAAAGAAGGAATGAGTCTAGAATAGAAAAATGATAAACTCTAACCCCAAGAAAAAAACAGAAGTACTTACAAGACTAGCCAGCTAAAACATAATCTCAATATATTAGCCATGATAGAAAAACAGAGAGTGCTCCAAGGCACCAAAATTCTACCACTGCTCCACCCATAAGCACTTAAGTATACACAAAGAAAGAACCCACCACATCTCCTCAAATCTCCCTCTCAGAAACTTTTTCCAGCATCACCCTAATACATTTAGAGCCACTCAAATGAAAAGTTAAACAATTTTAGAATTAAAACAAAAAATCTCATGACCTGTCCTTTGACAACTCAGATAGTTTGAGTGTATAATGACGTAAAGACGTTGCAAGAATGCCATATGCAATTCTGTACTTATGTGAGCAGTGTAATACTATTTATATGTGTGTGTGTGTGTGTCTGATGATGGGAAGAAAAAGAGAAAATTTAAGATACCTTGACATCATTAAGCACATCAAGCAACCTCTTAGGATCTGAACAACCATCTCGATAGAACTCCACAAGTCCAATATTATGAGATATCTAATAACAATGTCCATAATATGCAGATTAGCAATGGTATACAAAAAGTTGATAAAACACATGTTATAAGCCATTTGAGCCAAAATGCAGAACCAAGAAGCAACATAATCCAATCTCAATCTATGTAAGTAAAAATAATCTTACAATTGTTCTAAAGTACTCAAAATAAGAACTTTTGGTACAGCAAAGCTAGATTATTCCATCAATTAATCTGAAACATGATTTGATGTTCAAGATCACGGTATTTTAAACCATTCATTTCCTTATAGTACATTTCACCAAATTATCCTTTACAACTAGTAGATATATTTTTTGATCATTTTCACTCACATGGGGGAGCAATCAGCTTTTTCAAGAAGACGATATCAAACTTAGCATTAGCGTAAGAATTCGTATAATCCGCATTAGCTTAACTACAATTTTAGTAATCAAAGCAACCAAATCCCATAATTCAAAAGTCCTTAAAATTCTGATATATGATCCAAACACCAATTATAGATAATCCAGAACTAAACAATTAATTCAACTAAAGAAAAATAAAGAAATGACAAGAAACCTCAATCATTACAAAAATACAAAATTAAATCATTTATCGAATCATTTCAGAAATTGGGTTTTCGAAAAAGGAAAAAACTTAGCTTTTCAAAAAATAAAAAATAAAAAACCGAAAAGATAATTACTTTGGGATCGTTGGGCTTCCTCTTGAGGCACTCGGACAAGGCGGTAAGGCACTGATCGAACTTGCCCGACTGGAATTGCAGCAACGCATCCTGCGCAAAACCTCGGGTCACGGACATGACGGCTTCGACCTCGGCAGCTGAAGCAGAGCCGTCCCGATTCGCAGCAGTTGATGACGGAGACGAAGCCATCGGCGAATCGATCAATCAGAGCCCAGGAACCAATAAGCCTTATCTGAATACACAAATCCCCAAGAAGAAATGATCCAAAACAACGAACCCTAGAGGGTAAAAGGTGCGTTTTGGGGATTGATATGAAGTCGGAGTTGGGGGGTTTGGGGGTTTTCGAACCCTAAGAGGTTTGCAGGAGAGGACACCTGTTCGAGCGTCTTTTGCTCGAATGTGCTGATTTGCAGAGAGAGAGAGAGAGAGAGAGAGAGAGTAGAAAAGGATACGACTGAGAGGGATACAGATAGAGAGAGAGAAAGAAGAGAGAGAGAGCGAGAGCAGTTGTTTTGGGGGCTGGCTATGGGAATTTCGACGGAGGGTGTTTGCCGGGTGCACGCAACAATTGGGCTTTTTACAGATAACTCTGCTTCTGTTTCTCTTCTGTGCTAAACGGGCCATGGTTTGAAACTGATATTCTTTGTGGGGTGTGATTGGAATTTTGTGATGATCTTGTTTTTAGCTGTGTTTCATGTTTTGTTTGATTTAGTAAAGGGGTGTGTTAATTTATGTCCTTTGATTTTCTTTAATTTATTCGATTCGACAACCATAAATTAAGAAGTTGTGTATGAAGTAAAATGGGGTGTGTCTAAGCTAATGGTGGGAGTTAAGTTTTCAAAACAATGAAAGTGATTAGTATTGTATGGAGATTTGGAAAGCTGTTTTTGGACACACCGGTGTGTGATTTACATAATGAAATAATGATATTAACATGCTATTTTTAGAATTATAATTACACTCATCAAGTGGGTACCATGTTCAATTTCATTCATAAGGGAAACCAAAATTTAATTAGTGTGGGCTCTAGTCTACAAAGTAATCTTGTACCATAATTAATACTAGCCTTCATGCATGAGCTCACGCGCGTGCAAAAGATATTTTTTGAATCACGGCATGCTAAGCGCGACTTACACGTTTTAAATGTATTTGTATGTGTAAATTGACAAAAGGAAAGTCAAATATTTGAAGTAAATGAATAATCTTAGATCATGCTAGAAGAAACCCCTCATAAACCAATTAAAGCAGTTGAATTCACATAATAAAATCGGTCTTTGTAGAATTTACATTAAGAATAGAGAAAATAATATTTAATAAACAACTGATTGAATCACATTATTGCTAGCCTATTGTGATGCTAAGCCCACCCCCTCCCTCTTAGTGTAGATAATATCATTTGTTAAAATAAAAAAAAAATCATTTGACAACTAATTTAATCACATTATTATCCGCACGCAAAAGACTTTTTTTATAACCGGCATTTAATAAACAACTGATTGAATCACATTATTGTTAACTCATTGTGAGGTTAAGCTCACCCCTTTCACCTTAGTGTAGATAATATCATTTGTTAAAAAAAAACAATTATTTGACAACTAATTTAATCACATTATTATCTGCATGCGAAAGACTTTTTTTTTAAAACCGGTATTACGTGCCTCTTAAGATGTTTTGAACGTTTTTAAAAATAGAGAAAATAATATTTAATAAACAACTAATTGAATCACATTATTGCTAGCTCATTGTGAGACTAAGCCCACCCCCCTCCCCCTAGTGTAGATAATATCGTTTGTTAAAATAAAATAAAAATCGTTTGACAACTAATTTAATCACATTATTATTCACGTGCGAATGACCTTTTTTTATAACTAGCATTACACGCCTATTAAGATGTTTTGAACGTGTAAAAAAAAATTATTTGACAACTAATTTAATCATATTATTATCCGCGTGCGAATGACTTTTTTATAACCGGCATTACACTCCTCTTAAGACTTTTTGAACGTGTTTAAAAATAGAGAAATTGAATCACATTATTGCTAGCCTATTCTAAGGTACTAATTATTAAAAAAAAAACACACACACACACACACACATACACACAAATTAATTATTAAAAAAATACTATTAATATGACGAAAATGCCCCTGCCTTATTTGATGCATTATTTTGGGATGCCTTTAAAGTTTTTGTTTTTGGGGGCATTTTTGTCTAATTATTTTTGTTGAAGATTGGTGATGACACACCCCGATCCTGAGAATCAAGGCATGCTGGCCGTCACGTGAGCGTGATGTAGCCAAAAGTGCGACACGGAAGCAAGATACAATAAAAATATGCAGGGATTAAACCAATCACTAGCAGAATAACCTACTAGCATAAAAGAGTGAGTTATAAAGTAAAACACACGAATTCAGAGCGTAGGTATAAGTGCAGTCAAGTAGGACTATAATTAAAAGTACAACACCCGCATGTGAGTCCTACATGCAGAACGTCTGTTAGAATGCCGAAAAAGACCTCGTGAGCCACCAACTGCTAACTAGAACCTGGAGGGGCGCAAAACAAAGATGAGTGGGTCAGTAAAACCAAAGATTTTCCAAAACATTTCATTTAAAACATTTCTAACCCCTCACCGTAAAACCTGTATACTTTCCCAGAAAAATAGTATATAAACATATATATACATATATCATCAAACTCGGCTCACCATCTATCAACACAACATCACAGAAAGAATATGACATGCCATGCTAAAATATAATATGAATGCATCGATATAAATCAGGTGAAATAATAAATCAACCGGAGACCCTACAGTGGTCCTGTACGGCTGATTCTATAGCTCAACATCCCACTCAGCCGGAGTCACCACAGTGACCTATACGGCCTAACTCTGCACGTCACTCGGAACTACGTATGGTAGTCTGTACGATGAAAGGTGTAAGAATACGCTCTAGTGCTTCTCTCATCAATCATCGGTGCGCATAACTAAGGTCACCCACTAGTCGGAATCACATCTAATGATCTATACGACTAGCATGTCGGAACCCTCACATGGTCTGTACGACATCCACCTACTTAGATCCAAGGCGAGCGTGCGGTGTGGTGAATAATAATATAAGCATTAACACCTAGGGTGCAGGTTATGAGCTTTCAATATAATTCACATAAATAAATCGCATGAATAATGTAAAAACTCACATGTGCGTCCACAGCGTCAATTCACATATATATACATCAATTATCAATTCAAATATCTCAACAATTGCATGCATGGCAAATTAAAACATATTTTCATATAAACGCATTTTCTGGGAAAAACAGTAGTATATAGGTAATACGAAAACAAAATTGCCCACTCACTGGTAAGTCGTTGGGTCGTAACCCCCGTGACGTCCCTGGCTGCACTCGTCCTCGGGATAGGTGTCACCTATATGCGAAACAACTATAAAAACGTTAATTTAAACACATAACCAACAATTCGAAATAACTTCTCATACGATACTCAATTTGGGTATATGAATATACCACATTGACCTACTCGACGTCACGGACGTCGAGAAATTTTTAGAAAATTTTTTAAGCTTGCCACGCGCCCCCACGTGTTGTGGGTGGCATGGGTCCACGCGCCCCCACGCGCATCATCTTCCTCAGCCAGTCGCTGGACTGGTTTTTCCGGTGGCCGGATTCCGGCGAGTTTTAAAATCACTTGTTCTCCTTCGTTTCTCAACCGTTTTCTTCGAATTTTATATCAATTTGAAGCCCTCAACATGTAGAATCACGATGGACAAGTTTCAAGGTCTAAAATTCACTAGATTTTACCTGGGGAAGCACGATAGTTCAGAAATTTTGAGAACCTCCGTTCTCGGTCATCCGACGTCCAAATATCACCAACGAAGTACCCCAAAGCTCGTGAGGATGTCCTTAAGCTCACTGTGAGCTTGAAATTCCCTGAAATGCAAGATTTCACGTGTGCATGAACAGTGCACATTTTTGGGGTTAGGGTTTCACAACAATTCCGAGGGTTTCACTTCCTAAAACTAGTACCAATCGACTCAGAACATCACAAGGATGAAGAATCATACCTTATTTGCTTCGATCCGCAAAGTTTTGGAGGGTTTTGGGCTTGTTCGTACAATCGAGGGTGAGAGAGAGAGAGTCGAGAGGGAGGAGAGAGAGAGAGGTACGGGGAAGAGGGAGAGAGCAAGGAGTGCGTGAGTGTGTGTTGTGTGGTCCAACACCAAACCACATCATCAATTTTTCATCTTAATTCCCTAACCACACAACAATCCCACATAAGCAAATTCCAAAGTTTATAAAGTTTAAGTCTAAATAATGTCACACACACATACCTTAATACCCGTCAAGGGTAATTCTGTCATTTCACGTTCCCGATATAGAATTTTCAGGACGGGCTGTGACAATCTCCCCTTCTTATAGAATTTCATCCCCGAAATTCCCACAACCAAATAAAGCGCTTAATACCCATAGAATAACCTTGGGTACATCTTTCTCATTCGATCTTCTGTCTCCCAGGTAGCTTCCTCTACAGAATGGTTCCTCCATAACACCTTTACCAAGCTCACCGTCTTATTCCTTAGAACCTTATCTTTCCAATCCAAGATAGTGACTGGTTCCTCATCATATGTCAAATCTGGATTAATCTCTAGCGGTTGAGGAGGGATCACATGTGAAGGATCAGAAATATAATGTCAAAGCATAGAGACGTGGAACACATTATGAACCTTAGATAACTCCGGAGGCAACTCCAACCTATAGGCAACTTCACCAATCCTCTCAGTGATCTCATAAGGCCCTATGTACCTAGGACTTAGCTTTCCTCTTTTTCCAAATCGTACCATACCTCTCCAAGGTGACAATTTCAAAAATACCCAATCACCCACATCATACACTCGATCAGTAGCATGTCGATCCGCTAAGCTCTTCTGTCGATCCTGGGTTGCTTTCAGGTTAGACTTAATCACCTGAATATTTTGAGTAGTCTCATCCACAATCTCTGGGCCTTCTAACACTCTTTCACCAACCTCAGACCAACACAATGGCGTACGACACGCCCTACCATAAAGTGCCTCAAATGGTGACATACCAATGCTCGAATGAAAACTATTATTGTAGGCAAATTCCATCAAGTCCAGGCGATCATGCCAGGAATCACCAAATTGTAACACTGAAGATCTCAACATATCCTCCAACGTCTGAATAGTCCTCTCTGATTGCCCATCAGTTTGAGGATGATAAGCAGTGCTATAAAGCAATTTCGTACCAAGAGCTTCCTGAAAAGCTACCCAAAATTTAGAAGTAAATCTTGGGTCTCGATCAGATATAATATTCACTGGAACTCCATGATACTTCACAATCTTCGTGATGAACAACTTAGCCAATTTATTCAGAGGGTGACTTTTCCCTCACTGGAATGAAGTGCGCTGACTTGGTAAGTCGATCCACAATCACCCAAATACCATCGAATCCATTTCGTGTACGAGGAAGCTTATACACGAAATCCATAGTTATATTTTCCCATTTCCACTGAGGAACGGGAAGTGGCTGCATTCGCCCAAAAGGCTTATTTCTTTCTGCTTTGACTTGCTGGCAAATAATACATCTACTTACATAATCTGCAATTTCCCTTTTCATACCCGGCCAATAATAAAATGGTCGAATGGTATGATACATCTTAGTTCCTCCTGGGTGCATCGCATAAGCTGAACAATGCGTTTCATCCAAAATTTCTTTCTTTAATTCCTCATTATTCGGTACATACATTCTGTTCTCCTGCATAAGCATGCCATCTGATTCTCGAATCCTGAGGTCTTTCTTTTTCCCTTCATTTCTTAATTGAACCATTTCTTGAATTTCCTCATCCACCATCTGAGCTTCGAGTATACGATCAACCAAAACTGGCCTGACTTGAAAACTAGCAAGAAAAGCTTTGCTTCGATCTTCCAACTCCAACTTTACTCCAGTTGCCCTCAGTTCAGCACGAAGAGGAACACGACAAGCATATAAAGCATTGAGTTGACCTTGAGGTTTCCTACTCAGTGCATCAGCTACCACATTAGCACGACCCGGATGATACTCAATAGTGCAGTCATAATCACTTAGCAATTCCATCCATCTTCGCTGACGAAGATTAAGATCATGTTGAGTAAATAGATACTGGAGACTCTTGTGATCAGTGAAGATCTTACAGTTCTCACCATATAAATAATGCCTCCAAATCTTCAAAGCAAAGATAATGGCTACCAATTCAAGATCGTGAGTAGGATAATTCCTTTCATGATTTTCAACTGCCGAGAAGCATAGGCAATCACTCTATTATGCTGCATCAAAACACATCCCAAACCATTCAAGGAAGCATCACTGTAAATCTCAAAATTATCGCTATCATCAGGAAGTACCAATATTGGAGCATGAGTGAGGCAATATTTCAATTGCTGGAAACTCCGCTCACAATTCTCATCCCACTCGAATTTAACATCCTTCCTGGTCAACTTCGTTAACGGCAAGGCAATCATAGAAAAATCCTGAACAAACCGTCGATAATAACCTGCCAAACCAAGAAAACTTCGTACCTCAGTGACGGTTCGAGGTTGTTCCCAATTCTCCACTGCTGCTATCTTTTGAGGATCTACTTGAATTCCTCGTGCCGATACAACATGCCCAAAAAATGCCACTTCAGTCAACCAAAACTGACATTTACTGAACTTGACATACAACTGATGTTCCCTCAATTTCTTTAATACCAAGTTAAGGTGTCGGATATGATCCGCTTTAGACTTAGAGTATACCAGAATATCATCAATAAAAACAATAACAAATTTATCAAGATATTGCTGGAATACCTTGTTCATTAACCTCATGAAAGCTGCAGGTGCATTAGTCAACCCAAATGGCATAACCAGAAATTCATAATGTCCGTAATGGGTTCGGAAAGCCGTCTTAGGTACATCTTTATTTTTAATCTTCAACTGATAATAACCAGATCTCAAATCAATCTTAGAGAATACACACACACCTTTCAGCTGATCAAACAAATCATCGATGCGAGGCAATGGATAATGGTTTTTAATCGCTACCCGGTTCAATTGCCTATAATCAATGCATAATCTCAGAGTTCCATCTTTCTTCCTCACAAATAATACTGGAGCTCCCCAAGGTGACGAACTAGGTTGAATGAAACCTTTAACAAGTAATTCTTGTAACTGAATTTTTAATTCTCTCAACTCAACTGGAGCCATTCTATAAGGAGTTAGAGATATAGGATCAGTACCTAGAAGCAAATCAATAGAGAATTCCACATCTCTGTCTGGCGGCAACCCCGGTAAATCATCAGGAAATACATCAGGATAATGCCTGACCACACCAACTTCTTCTACACTGCTGGGAACAACATCATTTAACACCACATGTGCTGAATATCCTTGACAACCCTTCGATAATAACTTCCTTGCTCTTATGGTAGAAATAACACCATGTCTCATCCCCTTTCTTTCGCCAACAAAAGTAACCTCGGGTAGTCCAGGGCGATAAAAAGTAACTGATTTCCCATAACAATCAATATGGGCACGATTATAATGCAACCAATCAGCCCCTAGAATCACATCAAAATCCACAATATCTAACGGAATAAGATCAGCTGGCATAACTACGCCCTCTACCATCACTGGACACCCAAGATACACACTATCAACATAACATTTATCTTCTCTAGGTATGGCAAACTCTAAATCAAATCCTAGAGGTGAAAGGTGAGGTTGAGTCATTTGAGTAAACGTATGAGAAATAACAGAATGCGTAGCACCACAATCAATCAAAACTCTAGCAAAATGACCAAGAACATTTAACGTACCCATGATCAAATCTGGATGGTTCTGAGCATCTTGCAGTGAGATGTGATTAACACGCCCTTGAGTTTGCTGTCGTCCACCACGACCTCTGCTGCCTTGATTACCTCGCCCCTGAGAAGTACGTCCCTGGCCTGACTGATTGGACTGCACCACCAGCAGCAACTTCCCCATGACAGGGCTGACCTCCCTGATGCCATTAAGATCCACCCGCTGGCATAGATGAATAAGAAGAATAACCCCCAAAGTCCTGGGAATACCCTGTCTGAGAATAAGTCTCCTGGGGATACTGATAAGGTCCGGAAACATACGAAGCAGCATCCCCCTGGTAGTGGTAAGCACCACCACGACCCGACTGGCCATAACTGCCTGGTCCAAAGCTCTGCTGAATCGGTGTTGGAGGTGGCATAGTGGTCTGCTGAGGTCTCTGCTGACCCTGGGGACATTGAGAAGCCCGATGTCCCATTTGCCCACAAGTATAACAAGCACCACCACCTCTCCTGCACTTACCATGATGACGAAAATTACAACGGCGGCACCACAGAGCACCAGAACCACCAGCACCACCGGAATTCCTCTGCCTCTGGAATCTGGGTCCACTAGAAAATCTTCCACCACCTCTCATCGGGCCAGTAATACTATATCCTCCACTAGAAGAACTCGAACTCGCTCAACTCTTCTTAAAATTCTGCGTCTTGCGAGGTCCCGGAATGAAGATACCCTTACCTTTATCATCCTTCTTCTGACCATCATTCTTGTCCTCGTCATCCTCACTGTTACTGGGAAGATTATCGGAGTCCTCCATCCTAACCAAAATCTCAAAAAACTCATGATAATCGGCGCAGGGAAGTGCACTGGCAAAAGTCTGCCATTTTCTCTTAGTTCCCAATTTGAAACGTCGAAGCATCTCTACCTGATTACCAGCTGTATCAGGGTCATAACGAGACAAATCAGTAAACTTTCTGTAGTACTCATGTGCTGACATTTTCCTTTGTTTCAATCGAGTAAATTCCTGTTTCTTGCGATCAATATACTCTGGAGGGACAAATCTTTTCTTGAAATTCTCCTTAAATACCTCCCAATCAGCTGCCATTTCTGGGGACATAAACTGAGTTTGATTCCTCCACCAACATGATGGCTCTCTACCCAAAAACCAGGTAGTGGTCTCCACCCACCTGTCAGCAGGAAAGTTTCCCTGACTTTACCTCACCTGAAACGTCTTCTCAATATGGTCTAGCCATTTCTCTGCCCCCTCGTGACCCTCATCACCCATAAAACGATCCAATTTCAAATTGTACATAGTCTCCAGGGGTGTCATCTGAGAAGGGGGAGGAGGACGAATTGCATTCTGAAAAGCCTGGGCCATTGCTTCCCCTAACGGAGTGATATCCGGGAAATTAGGTTCAGAAGTACGGCGGGATTCCCTACGTTCCCTACGAGGCGACATAATTATGACAGAAAACATCAAAAGATCATTAGAGCATTAACAATTATACAAGACTGCAACCTAGGCTCTGATACCAAACTGACACACCCCGATCCTGAGAATCAAGGCGTGGTGGCCGTCACGTGAGCGTAACGTAGCCAAAAGTGCGACACGGAAGCAAGATACAATAAAAATATGCAGGGATTTTAACCAATCACTAGCATAATAACCTACTAGCATAAAAGAGTGAGTTATAAAGTAAAACACACGAATTCAGAGCGTAGGTATAAGTGTAGTCAAGTAGGACTATAATTAAAAGTACAACACCCGCAAGTGAGTCCTACATGCAGAACGTCTGTCAGAATGCCGAAAAAGATCTCGTGAGCCACCAACTGCTAACTAGAACCTGGAAGGGCGCAAAACAAAGATGAGTGGGTCAGTAAAACCAAAGACTTTCCAAAACATTTCATTTAAAACATTTCTAACCCCTCACCGTAAAACCTGTATACTTTCCCAGAAAAATAGTATATAAACATATATATACATATATCATCAAACTCGGCTCACCATCTATCAACACAACATCACAGAAAGAATATGACATGCCATGCTAAAATATAATATGAATGCATCGATATAAATCAGGTGAAATAATAAATCAACCGAAGACCCTACAGTGGTCCTGTACGGCTGATTCTATAGCTCAACATCCCACTCAGCCGGAGTCACCATAGTGACCTATACGGCCCAACTCTGCACGTCACTCGGAACTACGTATGGTAGTCTGTACGATGAAAGGTGTAAGAATACGCTTTAGTGCTTCTCTCATCAATCATCGGCGCGCATAACTAAGGTCACCCACTAGTCGGAATCACATCTAGTGATCTATACGACTAGCATGTCGGAACCCTCACATGGTCTGTACGACATCCACCTACTTGGATCCAAGGCGAGCGTGCGGTGTGGTGAATAATAATATAAGCACTAACACCTAGGGTGCATGTTATGAGTTTTCAATACAATTCACATAAATAAATCACATGAATAATGTAAAAACTCACCTGTGCGTCCACAGCGTCAATTCACATATATATACATCAATTATCAATTCAAATATCTCAACAATTGCATGCATGGCAATTTAAAACATATTTTCATATAAACGCATTTTCTGGGAAAAACAGTAGTATATAGGTAATACGAAAACAAAACTGCCCACTCACTGGTAAGTCGATGGGTCGTAACCCCCGTGACGTCCCTGGATGCGCTCGTCCTCGGGATAGGTGTCACCTATATGCGAAATAACTATAAAAACGTTAATTTAAACACATAACCAACAATTTGAAATAACTTCTCATACGATGCTCAATTTGGGTATATGAATATACCACATCGACCTATTTGACGTCACGGACGTCGAGAATTTTTTAGAAAAAATTTTAGGCTTGCCACGCGCCGTGGGTGGCACGGGTCCACGCGCCCCCACGCGCATCATCTTCCTCAGCCAGTCGCCGGACTAGTTTTTCCGGTGGTCGGATTCCGGCGAGTTTTAAAATCACTTGTTCTCCTTCGTTTCTCAACCATTTTCTTCGAATTTTATATCAATTTGAAGCCCTCAACATGTAGAATCACGATGGACAAGTTTCAAGGTCTAAAATTCACTAGATTTTACCTGGGGATGCACGATAGTTCGGAAATTTTGAGAACCTCCGTTCTCGGTCCTCCGACGTCCAAATATCACCAACGAAGTACCCCGAAGCTCGTGAGGATGTCCTTAAGCTCACTGTGAGCTTGAAATTCCCTGAAATGAAGATTTCACGTGTGCATGAACAGTGCACATTTTCGGCGTTATGGTTTCACAACAATTCCGAGGGTTTCACTTTCTAAAATTAGTACCAATCGACTCAGAACATCACAAGGATGAAGAATCATACCTTATTTGCTTCGATCCATAAAGTTTTGGAGGGTTTTGGGCTTGTCCGTACAATCGAGGGTGAGAGAGAGAGAGAGTCGAGAGGGATGAGAGAGAAAGAGGTACGGGGAAGAGGGAGAGAGCAGGGAGTGCGTGAGTGTGTGTTGTGTGGTCCAACACCAAACCACATCATCAATTTTTCATCTTAATTCCCTAACCACACAACAATCCCACATAAGCAAATTCCAAAGTTTATAAAGTTTAAGTCTAAATAATGTCACATACACACATACCTTGATACCCGTCAAGGGTAATTCTGTCATTTCACGTTCCCGATATAGAATTTTCGGGACGGGCTGTGACAGGTGACACCAAAACACTATTCTCTTTTTCTTCTCTCTTTATATATAATAGCCTTCATGCACGCGCTCACGTGCGTACATAAGAGAATTTTTGAATCACAGCGTGCTACTCGCGACTTATATGTTTTAAATGTATTTATATGCATAAATTGACAAAAAAAAGTCAAATATTTGAAGTAAATGAATAATTTTAGATCATGTTAGAAGAAATCCCTCATAAACCAATTAAAGCAGCTGAATTCACATAATAAAATCGGTCTCTGTAGAATTTACATTAAAAATAGAGAAAATAATATTTAATAAACAATTGATTGAATCATATTATTGCTAGTCTATTGTGAGGCCAAGCCCACCCATCCCCTTTAGTGTAGATAATATCGTTTATTTAAAAAAAATCATTTGAAATTTAACTTAATCACATTATTATCCGTGTGCGAAAGACCTTTTTTATAAATGGCATTACATGCCTCTTAAGATGTTTTAAACGTGTTTAAAAATAGAGAAAATAATATTTAATAAATAACTGATTGAATCACATTATTGCTAGCCCATTGTGAGGCTAAACTCACCCTCTCCCCCTTAGAGCAACTTCACCCTTAGAGCCTTCCCCCAGGCAATCCACTATTCAATCCACCCTGTAAACAGTACCTGCCATAATGAACAGTAACTGTCTTTTGCATCTCCACCCTTGCACTTAAATAGCCTTGGCAATAGGCAATAAAATATTTATTAATTTTTTTTTACAAAATAATACTAAATAATTTTTTTTGTAATTTCGGATAAGATATTTTAAATCGTTCTCGTTGCGCTACATGCCATTTACCCAAAATGACTATTATTGGTCATAGATTTCGATAAGATTTTTATCCAATGTCATCGTGCCACATGTCGTTATCTTTTCAGAATATTTGAGGATAGATTTCGATCAGATTTTAAATCGTTCTCGTTGCACCACGTGTCATTATCCGAAAAGATAATTATTGGTGATGGATTTCGATAAATTTTTTATCAAATGTCGTCGTGCCACGTGTCGTTATCTTTTCAGAATCTTTTAGGATAGATTTTGATCAGATTTTTAATGAATGATGGCATGCCACGTGGCACTATCTACAACCTAATCATTTCAGAATTCTCCATATAATCCATTATCTATCCTTTTAAATCTCACACTAATTTTCTCAATATCTCTATCATTATTCATAGTTACCGTTTCCTTCTTCACCAAATCAAAATCTGTATCATTATTCATAGTTTCTACTTACAATGTCTTCTTCTTCAAGCATGATGTGAGAAATCAATCAAGAAGAGGAAGAATTGTTTAACTAATCTGAAGGAATGTTCAATCTCCATATAGCCCAATATGAGAAGGAAGAGGATGAGGAGCGAAGAAGGAGAGATGACGAAGCAAGAATGGCCAGAGACTCACATTCCCGTCGAGTCATCCAAGCTGTGGCTCAGATATGCAGGCCCACCTGTTCCGAAAACCTTGATAGAAGCAGGCAACAACGAGGTGAAGAGGTGTTGGACGATTATTTTGTCCATAATAGTGCATTTCCTGATACGTACTTCAGACGTCGTTTTAGAATGGAACGATATTTGTTCAACAAAATCATGATTGCTATTTGCAACCATGATTCTTACTTTGTGCAAAAGAATGATGCTTGTGGTGCTATGGGTCTCCTTCCCGAGCAAAAAATTACTGCTGCGTTGCGGATGCTTGCGTATGGAGCATCTGCAGACCAAGTGGATGAGATAGCGAGGATGGGGAAATCAACCATTCTTGAGTCCTTGATGAGGTTTTGCGAAGCAATAGAATCTATCTACACCGTAGAGTACCTCTGGAAACCTACTCACATGGACTTGGAAAGGCTTCTGAAGAAGGTGGGGATACGAGGTTTTCCTGGGATGATTGGGAGCATTGATTGTATGTATTGGACGTGGAAAAACTGTCCAAGTGCATGGCAAGGCGCTTATGGAGACAGAAAATGAGCAAAAAGTATCATTTTGGAGGCGGTGGCATCTTTTGATACATGGATTTGGCACGCCTTTTTTGGGGTTTCGGGAGTTCAAAATGACCTCAACGTCTTTGCCCAATCCCCAGTGTTCAATGATGTCCTGCAAGGAAAGACACCAAAATTCACGTATGAGGTTAACGGATGTATGTACGACGGGCCATACTACCTAACTGATGGCATTTACCCAAGGTGGTCAACATTTGTCAAAACAGTGCCACGACCACGAAGTGCAAAGGAAAAACACTTTGCAAGATGTCAATAGGGGTGCAGGAAGGATGTGGAGCGTTGTTTCGGTATCCTCCAAGCTCGCTGGGCGATCGTCAGGGGTGCTGCCAGATTGTTTGATGTAGAGTCGCTTCGATCCATCATGATGACGTGCATCATTCTTCACAACATGATTGTGGAAGATGAGTACGATTATAAAGCCATTGATGAATATGAGCCAGACACGATGAACAATTCAAGAACACGTATATATTGTGCTCATGACGCCACCAATAAGCCCGTGCAACATGAGCCATTAGAAAGGGACAGACGTTACAATGAAAGGGTCATTCAACGATATACTTCATTTCAAAGGCCAGACATGCACAATGCCCGGCAAAATGACTTGATAGAGCACCAGTGGGCATTGAAACAAGCTGAAGATAATTAAGTTCATTTAATGTGTTTTTTATTATTTGGTATGTTTATGTAATTTTATTTGGTGTGTTTTATTTTAGTTCATTTAGTGAGGTTTTTATTATTTGGTGTGTTTATGTAATTTTATTTGGTGTGTTTTATTTTAGTTCATTTGGTGAGGTTTTTATTATTTGGTGTGTTTATGTCATTTGAATAAAGATTCTCTTATAGTATAAATATATTACCATATTAAATAAATTTATTCTCACTTTAAATAAAGTACTAAATTCAATAAATTCGAAACAACATAAAATACTCAATTCAATAAATAATAAATTACAACCCAAGGTGATTGGAAAACTATGGGCTCCGATTACAAAAAGTACTCTAATCATCATCACTTAACCAATTTGTGGTGCTAGGATGATCTTCTCTTGTCGTGCTAGGACCATCTCCTCTTGCTCTCGCTTCTCTTGCACGCCTCCTACGCACCACATCCTCTTTCTCCGACTTCCAAAAAATATTTAGAATTTGGAGACTTCCCTTCTAAAGGCGTGTTCATAATCTCACGATCTCGTTGAGCCATTCTTTCTTCTCTAACCAGTTCCCTTTCTTGCCTAAGTAGCTCTCTTTCTCTCTGATTAACTTGAAATTCTCTCTCAACAGCTGTAGCTTTTGCCTCATCTCTAGCCTTATCAGCCTTAAATTTCGCCATTTTCCACGCCAAAGTCAATTCACTATGGCGAGTAAGTTCTTCCATGTACTTTGCATAATCATGCTTGAAAGCACTTCATTTTCTTTTTGAAGCCTTCTTACCTTGAGGCCTAATTGGATAACGGGTCAAACCCGACGCTTGTTCAGGGATGGGCGTTTCGGGCACTTCTGCATTATCTTCATGCGAGCCATTATCAGGTGTAGAGTATAGCGGGGTGCTGTTCATGACAACTTCTGGACCGACAGGCACAACTCTGAATTTAGGACAATCTTTGACAATATTCCAACATTCCCACTGGTTGAATGATTTATTTTTGGTTTTGGTTTTGGCACCATACCAAGCTTGTGCTTGAATTAGCTACACAATGGGGGAGAATAAATAATTATAATCAAAGTAGGTAACAAATAAATAATACAAACAAATAATTATAATTAAAGTAGGTAACAAATTATTGGTAACAAATAAATAATACAAACAAATAATTATAATTAAAGTAGGTAACAAATAAATAATAAAAAAAAATAATTATAATTAAAGTAGGTAACAAATAAATAATACAAACAAATAATTACAATGTAAATTTGGGTATAGTATAAACAAATAAATAATATATTGTTACCTGATTCGTGTAATTTTCCCTACTTCGAAGATTACTACTAGCTTGTGCCAAGGCGTCTCTCCAAATAGTAAACGATCGGCTAAGTAATTTCCAACAACTAGACATCGATTCTTTGGTTCTACTCCCACCCATTTTCTCAAGATAATTGGTGTTGAGCAAAAATTGTACATAATATGTAAACAAATAATTCACTCGACACAATTTCACCCTCGTTCTTTTTTCCGAAGAGGGTTTTATTAATTCGAGTTCGACCCATTCTAGGCTATGCGCCTATTAATTACAACCCTTCTTTTGGGAAAGGAATACCCTTTGATTCCAATTCGAATAAAATGTAACTTGAGGATTTTGGTGTTTGTTTGATTTTTTGACTGCATCTAGGTCGAATCCTAGATTGCCTACGTACCCTCTTGAGGGTTCAAGTCACTCGTAGTTCATGATGTATTTGTTGGAGTTTAATGCCTTGTGCAGTTTTAGCTCATGCGGGCAAGGAGCAACTGATGCCTTGTGCAGTTTTAGCTCATGCAGGCGAGGACTTTAAGCCGTTGGAGCTGTTTAGTGCCTTATGCAGTTTTAACTCATGCGGCGAGGAGCATTAGAAAATTTGATGTGGCTTTATGCCATTTGAGATTTTTCTTCGGCTTCGTGCCACTTGGGATTTGATACGGCTTTGTGCCCTTTGAAACTTTTCTTCGGCTTCGTGCCATTTTGGTATTTGATAGTAGGAGTGAATTTAGTTTATATAAACCAGAGATTCGTTTCGGTTTCACGGTTGCGTCTATAACTTGATATCAGACTGCCTACGTATCCTTAACGGAATCAAACCAGCGTAGTTCGTTATCTTGATTTCATGGTTGTGATAGAAAATTGATATCAAACTGCCTACGTATCCTTAATGGAATCAAACCAGCGTAGTTCGTAATGTATTTGAGACCTTTCTTCGGCTTCATGCCATTTGGAATTTAATACGGCTTCATGCCATTGAATCGGCTTTTAGCCATTTGAGGCAGCTTTGTCCCATTTAAAGTGGTTTTGTGCCGTTTGAGCGTAGAGTAAATTAACGGATTTATTTCTGATAAACCCACTAATATTTTGGCATTTGACTCTAGCTTGGTACCATTTCTTACTCCATGTTTAATTTTACTTTTCCTTTGCAGCTTTCTTTCTTCTGACAAATTTGTAGGGGATCATGCTTGGAATAGAGAAAATATTTTATCTAACTCCTTCACGGGATTCATCCCATACGGGTTATGTGTTGAAAGCAGCCTTCCCCTTTGTTTTTATACTTTTATTTTGAACTTTCAATCCCACTCAACATGGGATTTTAGTCCCATTTGTCCCAAGCTTCTTTCTAATATGTCAGCAAGCCTTTTTTTCTTCTTTCACCTTTCCAAGTCCAAACAGGACCTTTTCATGGAGTCAGGAAGATAGTTATCTTCTGCTGTTCATTTGAGTACGCGGCGTAGTTTTCAGAATTTTATGAAGTCAACGAGAGTCGTTGCATGTCCTCTTTATTTCCTTGTGAGATTAACATAATCTTCTTTTTGCATGCAAATTCCGTGAGTCATCTCCCCATTATTTCTTTAGGAAACAATGATATTTTTTCAATCTTTGGTGTCTTAGAGCAGCTGCTGTATGATTGAGATGATAGTGTTGATTATTATTTCTTTTTTATTTTGCTTCATCTTGGTGCTCGTAGAGCAGGTGGAACATGGACTGCAGCTGTACCAATTTTGGTGCACCTTGAGCCCGGTCTTAGCCTTCCAATTTTGTTTGACTTTAACTAGTGTCGTAGGCTTTTTGTCCCCATGCCGTGAAGATATCAAGGGGCAAATTTGTTTTGTACCCTTTAGTTAGTTTGCTTCCATATTTTCTTTTCTTCCTGCACCATATTCGATTAAATTGGGTCCTTCTCATAGTGCCCACGTGAGTGGAAAGTTTTGGAGGGGCTTTTGTTTCCCTCTCATGCCGTAGCCTTTTCATCTCACCATTTTATATGTTTTTTTTTTTGTCTGGTACCACACATTATGATGGAGTTCTTATAAACTACAATACAACAGCCTGAGAACTTTCTTTTAAACAAAAAAAAAAAAATCTTTGAGGCAACTTCTCCCACCATGTGTGAACTTGGAAAAAAAAAACACGAGGGCTCTTCCCTTTCTTTTTAAAGAAACTTGCAGCCGCAGTTCTCTGGGCACCAGAAAATCGTGATGATAATCACTCTGCTACGGAAGAAAATTGAAGGACTGGCCATTTTCTTTAAACACTCATAACCAACGGTTGCGCGGAAGGAGGGAACGGTACGAGCTGCTCATTTTCTTCTTGACATGGACGAAAAGTATGGATGGAAGGTACTGCTTCGGGGATAAAGAACTTGAAATCTCAATTTCAAAATCTTATTTGTCCAGGTGTTGCCGCAGCGTCATTGTTGTTGCCTTGTTCGAAACTATCCTTACATTATCGGCGGGTTTCAGGACCATAGCTGGGCACGATGGTTTCTTCCTTCCCATTTGTTCGATCGTGGAGGATGATAGTTTCTTTTCTGTTGTATCTCTTAAACTTCTTTAAACACCCAAGAAGTTGCTCTTTCTCTGTCGCATTTCTGAAAAGAGAAAGATGTCAAAACTTCTTTAGACACCCAAGAGATTGCTGCTTCTCTGTTGTATCTCCGAAGAGAGAAAGAAAGATATAGAAACTTCACGCAAGAGATTGCAGGAGGCCGTGGGAAGCGGATCTGCTGCGTTTTGGTGGGATTCATGCCGCCCGGAGTGAGCATTGTGATAATGGTTGTTCTTTGTGAGTGGCTTTCTTCGAGTTCTTTTGGTTTTATGCAACACAGCATCACCAAACCCATTTCCTTCAAGCCACATCGACTTCCTTCGGGTTCTTCTGGTTTTATGCAACACGGCATCACCAAACCCATCTCCTTCAAGCCACATCCTGCGACTTCCTTCGGGTTCTTCTGGTTTTATGCAACACGGCATTACCAAACCCATTTCCTTCAAGCCGCGTAGTGCACGGGTTCCATCTGGAAAACCACCGGAGACGACGGTTGGAGACGTGGTACGACTGCCATTTCTGTTTGGGATTTTTTTTGTCTAACGTCGACAGTTGCTAGCATATAAGTTCTTGTTGCTGCCCAAAGTTTTTTAAAGACAACGTTTGCCTGCAAAATAATTTTACTAGAGAGCAGATGAAGAGAAAAGAATCATAGTTTTGTACCTTTTGATTGTTGCTTGTAGTTTGCTCTTCTTCCTTGAAAGTCTCATCTTTCGTTGCTCAATTTCTATCTCAATTTCTGCAGCGTACCTTTCCTTTTCTTTCGTCCTCCGTGTGCTGCAATTTCTGCAGCGTCTCCCTCTTTTTTTCCTGTCCTCCCTTTTTTTGCTGTGGTTGATGCCTGTTTATAGGCATCTTAGGAGGTTTCCAGAGTTCTTACGTGGGGGAGGATAAAGGCCTTTCTTTTCGCCACCTTCTCTTAAACTGACTCCACTTTTCTTTTTTTGTTGCAGGAAATGGGGGAGCCGCTGATTTTGTATGTTTCTTCCCTCTTTTGTAGGGAAATGCATATTTTATTTTATTTTATTTATGGATGTATGTAAAGCCCATCCTCATTTTTGTTGGGCTGGATTACATCTTGTTTTGCCTTGTAGTTTGACCCAATTTGTATGGACCTTATTTTTTATACGTCATGTATTTTTATTGTTCAACAATTGGTATGAATAAGACTCCACATTTCTCGCAACTGCATCTCATTACCCGTACACGAACTATGAGTAACTTCAACCCAACTAGTACACAATGCAACATCTTCAAGAGACGTCCAATTTGTACCTGCATCAGTAGTCATTTTGTTGAAAAAAATTGGATTGAAATTTTGAGAGAAAGATAGGAATGTGATTGAAAGTAGTTGAGAACATATGAAATTGTGGTGTAAGGTAGATGATAATGAGAAGGTATTTATAGAAAAGTAGAAACATTTTTTTAAAAAAAATTTCAGATATTTTTGAGGAATTTTTTTACAATTTTTTTTAATTTTTTTATTCAAATAATTAATCTCTACCGTTGGATTTAAAAAAAAATTGAATTCCAACACTCCAAATTATGCCACGTGTCACAACGGTAACTTTTCTTAATTTTAAAACTATTTTTTCGTTTTATGTATTTATTTATAAAGCATATTAATATCGACCGTTGATCTCAGATCGAACGGTTGATATTAAATAAGATTTTTTGTATTTTTTTTACCGTTGAGATCAAACGGTCCAAGTTAAATAGCCATTGAGATCAAACGGACCGTGGCTTCCCAACAGTCACATTGAAGTCTGAAAAGGCTTCTGTTTTTTCTGAAAAGTTGTCGGGCGACACGCCCCCACGCTCGAGTGGGGTGCACGCGCCTGACAGAAAAAAAATTAAAAAAAGGCCTGGAGCTCGGGCTTGTGGGCTGTCAACTCTTCACAGGCCCGGAGCTCGGGCCTCCACCTCCGCTCGGGCTCCTTCACGCTGGAGCAAATCTACAGGGCCTCGGGCCCTTTTCTCTTACTTGTCCCCCGAGCAATCTACATGGGTGGAGTTGCTCTTAGTGTAGATAATATTGTTTGTTAAAAAAAACAATTATATCGTTTGTTAAAAAAAAAAAACAATCATTTGATAACTTATTTAACCACATTGTTATCCGTGTGTGAATTTTTTTTTTATAACCGCCATTATACGCCTCTTAAGATGTTTTGAACGTGCTTAAAAATAAAGAAATTAAATCATATTATTGCTAGCTTATTGTGAGGTACTTATTTAAAAAAAAAGCATCAGAAAGTAAATTATTAAAGAAATACTATTAAAATGACAAAAATGCCCCTACCTTATTTGATGTATTATTTTAGAATGCCTTTGAAGTTTTTTGTTTTGGGGGCATTTTTGTCCAAATATTTTTGTTGAAGCATGACACCAAATCCCTATTCACCTTTTCCATTCTCTTTATATATAATAGAATAGAAGATAGATAATACAGAAAACATAAGTAATTCAGTTATGTACATAACATATGCCCAGCTCCAACATTTGGGGCTCTACATTTCTATACACAGGAAACTGTCAAAGTAGAAGCTGAAAGCCTGAGAGTACTGAGATAGCCAAACTATCCCTTTCTCAACAGCTCCAAGATGCACTCTGCATTCCGGATATCTTGGTTGTCTTGCGTATCCTCGTTCCCCTGCGAAAAATCCATGCTTGTGAAAGTCTGGATGCCCGGGCCGTGACCGCTACAATCCCTCTCCCTTCCTTGCTGTGCTCGCCTTACTTCCTTCTGATGCTCAGTTAGTTCCAACCTTTTCCTTTTCAAACTCGAACATGGAGGCATTTCTTTGAGCTCACCGCCTATCGTGTCCTCTTGCAGTTCTACTCTTTTTGAGCCTCTGTTATGGGTTGCATTGACCCTGTATCTTGGTGGAGCGGTAGCGGATCCCGGTCTTGATTGACATCTTTGACGTGGTGGGCTTCTCTTATGGAGGCTTATTCTTCCATTTCTCCAGAGCTTGTCTAAGACATGACGTAAGGTCTGGGGGTAATCCAATTCAGTTTGTTCGCCATATGTGGAATTCCAGAAGGTGATGGTTGGATTTGAAATGGACAGGTTTGAGTGATCAAGAGTTTTTGCAAGGATGGGTGCTTGGAGTTGGAGAAATGCAGAGTCAAAGATTATTGGAGGCTGACTCCTCCTTAAACAATTAAGCGTTTCTGCCCACAGGAGTTGAAATTGATTGCTGGTGTTCTCATCTTGTGTTTCCATGAGTACCAGCCACTGAAGCAGTGGATCAGATACTATCTGCAAGTACATGACGCATTAAACCAACATTAACAATATTTTAGCTATGCATTTACACACTGAACAATAAGGAAACCTGAAATAACAGATGAAACGGCAAGAAATTTCAGTATCTTGATCACCAACTCCAACAGATAAGGACAACGCTCTCAGAACAGCTTTCCTATGAGGAACATACTCTAATAGAAGGTTTCCAGCACCCATAGTTTAGATGAATTTATAGTGAAGATTCTACGGTTTGCCAAAAATAAAAAATAAGATAAAATTTTAAGAGCCGGTGCATGCTCATTGCACATTTGTTAGGGTTTAAGAATAATTTGAACAGATATCATTCACTTCCCACTTGCAACAACTTTGATCAGAAACTGATTCAATTTGGGAATAAAGAAAAACAATCTAAAGATCTATGGCAGTGAACTGGTACACAGCCTATCATATCGCTCCACCTCAGTATGAAATGAGACAGAACACAAAACCTTGGAAATAAGCACAAACCTTGAAGAAGGATAGGATATCCTCTTTCAAGTGCAGGGAACTCAGCAAGTGTGCCAATGCAGAATATACCCTGCAAATTTCACATCAAAGGAGAAATTGACATTAATGTAATTACACAAGGAACATAAACATGAAAGTTGACAAAATGGCTACCTAAACTAACCTTGAGACTGCACTAAGACCAATTGGTTCGTCTGATCCTATCTTTGTCTGCAACAACTTCATATATCTGTATAATAATAACACATTCAACATAAAAACTGACGGCGGAAGCATTTGACTTTGACTAAATCCAAACTAGCAACATTTGGACTAACCTGATGATCAATTTCAAGCAGAATTGAATGGCACTAGAGACCTTGTGGTTAGAGCCATGCTTGTTATCTCGATATGAATTAAATTCTGAAGAGCAGAATTTTTCCAAAATACATATCAACACATCGCCATATGAGGAAATGCAATGAAGAGCCAGATCCTTGAATTTTAAGACATACTCATCAGCACACACAAGCATGCTAGTACACTTTTCAAGGCACCTATCCAATATTGAAAAGAGATCCTCAAAGAAACTGCCGCCAATGAAACACCCAGATATTGAGGTGCAGAGGGAACAATAGAGGGACTTCCAGAGTGTGATAACTTGGTCAAGCTCAACCTGTATGTGATGTGAAGCATGAGATTCTTTTGAGGGGCTTCCAAGCTCTGCAGACATAAAGTATTTCGGAGTACAGGAGCATACAACTAGTGGATAGGACAACAGATCGCACACGGCAAAACAACATTTGCTGTCAGACTCCATTTTCAATGACGAAAAATCCTTCATATCATCAATGTAGAACTTCAAACCTTCTGCCACTGCAATCCACATCCTTAAGCAGCTAGGCCCACTGTGCTTGTACAATAATCCAGTAGTGACAACTAGGCTTTCCAGGGGATCAAACATTGATAACAGATATTTGAAATAATTCTGCATTCTCTGAAGATTGTTGTCTGTTTTGGGTTCAGTCATTGTTGACTGAACCACTAAGCAGAAGTAAAGTACACTTAAATAAACCATTGGTGAAACCATATCCATGTAAGCGTTAGTGACACCAGATTTTCCACATCCAATGTCAACTAATATTTGCAGGTTATCAATACACTTGATGTCAAATGGCACCCTGTAAAGAGGGGATCCCACTATAGTATGTTCAATCTCCTCACAGACAGCCTCCACCAACTGAAGCGATATGTGATGTAAGTCATTTCTGTCACTACAATCTGAAATAACTTTTTCACAAGTATTTTTTACGAACTTCAATATTGCATTCAAACAAAACATAATATCATCATAACTGATAGACGACCTTTTCAACTCCAACTGAACTCCTTTCAAAACAGATCTAAATAACCTTAAGGAGGCATCCGCAGCTGAAATCCTGTTATCGTGGGAGACAGTTTCCCTTAACGCTTGACAGATAAGAATGTAGATCATCTTTAAATGGAAGTCTAAAAGACTCAGATCCCATGGAAACCATTTGATGGGATACTGCTTCCAAGAGAAACTTCCGGATACAAAGGGAGCAATCCTAGAGGTTTTGCCCAATAACTGATGGTTCACTTGATTAAGTGAGTCATAATCTATATCTTTACATTTTGCCAATATGAAATCATTAAGCAAATCTATGCACAGATTCCTGGCCCAGATGCTCTTACTATCAGGATCAACTTGAAAAATTGCCTCAACAACAGGCTCTAGTACCATTCTGATGACAGAAGAATCACTGAGAGAGATATCAAGTTTATGCAATAAATAACACCACGTGTTCAAGCAAGCTAAATGAACAGATACATCACATTTAGTCGACATGATGCCTATCAGTGGTGTCATAATGAGCTTTGTGCCTTTTAAGTATCCATTTTTTTTAATTTCACTACCGTTTCCCTTGCATGTTCCTATTTGTTCCATACCATTGTCCTTTTTTGTCGCATTTGTCTCAAAGGGTAATATCATGGTAGGGTGAACAAGGGCATCAATAAGACCTTCCCAGGCAACCTGCAAAATTGGAGTACATAACAATCTTAGCTTAAGACATGGAATCAGAAAGTCTGGTTATTCTGAGACTAGATTAAGTTTTAACGCTGACAAGGATTAGGGACTTGGATCTAGCTTCGAAGGAGCATAACATAAATGAAATCATTAAGAAAAGGATATCATCTATTCTTTGGAATTAGACTTACTTGTGAAGCAATTTGAACTTGTGAGTCATGATCTGAAAATGTCTGCTCGGGAATTTTTAGCATCTGATTAATTAACTGCCTGTTCTTCAAGGCATGAGATCCCAGTAAGCGGATAAACCATCCCCATGCTTGAATAGTTTGAACCTTCATGCCGTTGGTTAGCATGTGGTGCATCCCAGTAAGCAACCTTGGCTTCAAATCTTTGACAACTGCCTGTTTATGGAAGAAAATGAAGAAAAAGGAAATGTACATGTCAATATAAATTACAGAATAACCAGCAAGACAAGATCATGGAAAGCCACCTCATGGTTCTATGTGAGACCCGTGAAGCCAATGGAAGGGATGCTATATAATCTTATGGTTAATTTTTCCGTGACACGGCATAATCTACCCATACTAGAAGTCATACTTCAAGAAAATGACATGAGCAAGTGAGTACCTTGGAAAGATTTAGCGGAGGGGGTAATATTGTAGACCTAGTGTTCAATAAACAACTCTCCGACATATCCCTCTCCCTCTTATCAGAGCTAAGGAGTCTTCTATATACTGGAGGAGCCCATATATGCGACATCTCTCTCATATTCTCACTTAACAAAGTTGCTAGCTTCATAACAGCCTGTCACAATAACATAAGGCATATTCAGAAGAATTAGTATGAAAACAACGCTGTTTAAAACGCATGATACTTGCGATGTATTACCTGAATAGCCTCAAAAGTAGTCGACAAAGAACCGATAGGATTGTCAATGGCATGAACAATCGCAAGCAAAAGAGAATGGAAATGGGCAGCTAAAAGTGGTGTACTCAATTGTTGGATAGATATGCACCACACCCCTAAATTGCAAACAGACTGCAGTTATGAAATCAGCAGGTTAATATTCGGACACACACGCGAAAAAAACAAAAACTAAAAAACACAAAAAGATTATCGCTTTTAGTAATAAATTCCCGTTAATATAAAGAAATAACCTTCATTTTTGTGGTTGTAATGAGCTTTGCCAGTGAATCTAAAACAAATTTGACATCATCCGCTGCGAAACAAAGAAATTGGTGACAGAAATTTGGTTATCAGTTTAAGCTCAGCTGCCTAAAAAGTTCAAAATTTAAATTTCAAACGAAACAGATTTTTGAGTGGCTACATGTACCTGCGATTTCGGCAACGATGGACGGATGATATATCATAAAGCCCAAGCATTTCAATGCCTGAGTTGCACTGCAAAATTTTTAAATAAAAAAATAAAATCCAAGACGTATTCAGTTACACCATACCATTAAAATAAATGAAAAACCCAGAAAAATGACATGTCGAATCCGAAGAACTCACATTTCTTCGTCATTGTTCCGAACATCGGCGACGGTCGGACGGATGAGGCTCCGGCAGCTCCGCGCAAGCATTTGAATTGAATCGTGGCAGTCGGAGGATTGCTGCTGGAGGTGTAAGAGGGTGGAGTAGGCGAAGGACTTGCTTTGGTGGCGGCTGAAGATATCAGGGATTTTATTTCTTCGAGCTGGTCTGAAAATCCGGACATCGTTGCGGTGGGGGAGAGGAAGCAGCAGTGCCCGGACTACCGGTAGCATGTGAGGTGAAACCCTAATGTCGCACTGGATTTTTGGAATTGGTAGTCTTTTCGCGCCATAGCGCGGAAAGGGGTGACGGGTTTATCAACTTGGGGCCTGTTGGGCTTTGGGCCTAAATAAATGGAAAGAAATATTTCAAGTGTTTTTAGAACTCAAAAATATTTCTTTAAAAGCGTTTTTAATTGCTAGTGCTTGTTAAACGAGTCCTAAGGCCATCTCTAACCGAGGGCTGGCCAGTTAATGAACAGTACAAGACCATATTTGCCTCCGTCTCCAACCGAGGGCCAGAGGGCCAAGGGGCTCATTTTAGCCATGTCACAAAAAACCGTCTCCAACCGAGGGCCAAAGGGTCATAGGGCCAAACATAATTTATTATTTATAAACTACAATTTAAATTCAAATCTAACGGCTAGGTGACGTCAACATGATGTCAGCTAGCCGTTGGTAGCTGACATCATGCTGACGTCAACTAGCCGTTGGATTTGAATTTTTTTTTGCTATAAATAGGGTGGATATTGGGCTATAATTCACACAACTTTAAATTCAATCTATTTCAATTCAATCTCTTGCAATTCAATCTCTTTCAATTCAAGTTTGCAATGAATTCCAACTTTGGATCTTCATCCAATTCCAATTGGGGGTCCTCATCCAATTCCAAATTGGAAGCAAAATGGGCGCAAATGAGACGAGAAGATGAGGAGTCTGATGAATAAGTTCAAGTAAGGCGCAACAAACAAAACATGGCAGCAGCCATGGCTGCGGCCATGATGTGTCAGCTAACTGAGGAACAACCTCAATGGGGTGGCTCTGTTGCTGGTCGCTCTTACAAACCACAAAACAGAGCGATGTCGCATGCCAATCTGATGAACAACTACTTCAACCCCAACTCGGTGTACACAGAAGAGGATTTCAGACGTCGCTTCCGGATGAGGCGTCATGTCTTCGAGCGTTTACTTCGTGATGTCCAGCAGGTCAATCCATACTTTCGACAGAAGTGGGACAGAGCAGGCCACCCTGATTTCTCACCTCATCAGAAGGTTACTGTTGCACTCCGAATGATGTCATATGGCTCCTTAGCTGATTCGATGGATGAAACCCATGGTATGTCTGAGTCTACATGCCTTAATACTCTTGAAGAATTTTGTAACATAATTGTTCAGGTTTACAAAGACGAGTACCTCTGAGAGCCAAATCAAGAAGATTTGAATCGGCTCCTTCACAAAGCTGAAGACCATGGGTTTCCGGGCATGATAGGGTCATTAGACTGCATGCATTGGGATTGGAAGAACTGTCCCACTGGATGGCAATGAGGCTTTAGCGGAAGGTCGAGAAAGCCAACTGTTGTGTTAGAGGCAGTTGCCTCATATGACACATGGATCTGGCATGCTTTCTTTGGAGTCCCTGGATCCCAAAATGACATTACAGTTCTTGGGCGTTCACCCCTCTTCAATAACTTGACGGAAGGTAAAGCACCTCAACTTGACTACTACATCAACGGCCGTGAATACAATATGGGGTATTACTTGGCAGATGACATCTACCCAAAGTGGGCGACACTTGTCCAAGCAATTCCAAACCCTAGGAATGATGCAGAAAAGTTGTTTACCTTACACCAAGAGGCATACCGGAAAAATGTTGAGAGAGCTTTCGGTATTCTACAAGCACGGTGGAAGATTATCAGCGAACCGGCAAGAGGGTGGAGTCGAGAAAATTTGAACTCCATCATGATGTCTTGCATCATATTACACAATATGATAGTGGAGGATGAGCGAGATGGGTATATTGATGGAGAGTACGATGATGACCAAGAAGATCCAAATAGGTCAAGAAGGGCTCTAGCAAAAATATATGATGGGCCTAATTTGACTTTCAATCCAAGAACTGGTAGTATCTCTATAAATGAGTATATGAGGCGCTATAGAATAATACGTTCTCGTGCAACAAATAGGTACCTACAACAGGATCTTGTTGCACATCTTTGGGCCAAAAGAAGCATGGAGTAGGCTTTTAAGTTTTATGTTGTTAAATGTTTTTAAAAATATTGTTTAAGTTTCATGTTGTTAAATGTTTTTTTATGTTGTATAATTTGTATGTTGGTTAATGTTATTTAATGTTGTTTCATATTGTTTAATGTTGTTTCATGTTACTTAATTTAATTTAATGTTGTATAAATGGCCTAGGAAGTTATAGGAAAAAAATAGAATTGAAAAAAAATATGAAACAAATTTTGTGAAATAGAAGTTATAGGAAAAAAAATGGAATTTAAAAAAATATGAAACAAATTTTGTAAAATAGAAGTTATATGAAAAAAAAATATGAATCAAATTTTGTAAAATAGAAGTTATAGGAAAAAAAATAGAATTTAAAAAAAAATTGAAACAAATTTTGTAAAATAGAATTGAAAAAAAATATGAAACAAAATTTGATTCATATGAAAAGGAAAAAAAAAAGGGAAAAAAAGAAGTTTAAATTCATAAAAAAAAAGGGCCTAATAATACAACGGCTACTAGCCGTTATATTAAAAAACATTCAAACTATTAGTGTCGGTTATAACCGACACTAATAGTAAAACTATTAAAAAAAAAAGAATCTCTTTAATGCTGTCGGTTATAACCGACAGCAATAGGAAAACATTAAAAAAAAATAGCCAGCCCGGGGCTGGCTGGCTGGCCGAAAACAGCTAGCCCTCCAGCCCTCCAGCCCTCTCTGATCCCGTGGGGCCCTCCCAGATTCCAGAGCCCTCTGGCCTAGCCCTCGGTTGGAGACGGTTTTAGGGCTATTTTCGGCCCTCTGACCCTCTGGACCCTTCGGTTAGAGATGGCCTAAGTCCCACTAGGCCTGGAAAACGGGTTGTGTTTGTTATGTTCGTGTTGTTTTCGTATAACATCTGTTATCTTAACGGGTCATGTCGTGTCACACCCGTTATCTTAACGGATCCTTAGAGTAAAGTGACCCGACCAGTTATGACCCCTTAAGAAAATATATATTTTTTCTTAAATTTGCACATACCACACATTGCCACATAAATATTACTTCAAAACATTAAAACACATTTGTCATTTAAGTACTACATCTACACTAAAAAATAAGAGCCTAATAAACAAATATCCATACACTACTAGTCTATTACAAAATATTAAATGTGCAAGGATATGCAAAAAGAAAGAGTTTTTGTTTTCAAGGTTATGAAGCATTTCTCAAAAGTTTAAACCTTACTAATGGAACTCAAAACTTGCATGTTATTCCTTTTACAAAATCCTCAATTTTCATCGATCATCATGACATAAGATTTTGTGGCATCCACTTGTGTAAATATTTTAAATTGACAATCAAATTAGTTCATTGTATTCATATAGGATTAAGGAGTGTAGCTTTTAAAAATCATCAAAATCGGAGTTAAAATAACCGTTAAATGATTTTTAGTTTATAACCGTAAAATTTTTTTGTCCCATTACTTGATCTCTGAATGTTTGTTTTTTTGCAATTTTTGGCGTATGTGATCTCGAAGTATATACAAACATGTTTGATGGTTGGATCGTTGAAACTAGTTTCGTAGAATGCGTATCCCATCAAAACAATAGATTCACTAACACTTAAGAGTTTATTCATATTTTCATTAAGTATAACATAAAATTTTGTAGTATCCACTTGTGTAAATATTTTAAATTGAAGATCGAGTTCATTCATTGTATTCATATAGGGTCAAGGAGTGTAGCTGTAAAAAATCATCAAAATCGAAGTTAAAATAACCGTTAAATTGTGATTTTTCTTTGATAACCATCGAAAAGTTTTGTCCCGTTACTTGATCTCTCTAAATGTTTGTTTTTTTCAATTTTTGGCGTATGCGATCTCGAAGCATATACAAACAAGTTCGACGGTTGGATCGTTGAAATTAGTTTTGTAGAATGCATATCCCATCAAAACGATAGATTCACTAACACTTAGAGTTTATTTATACTTTCATTAAGTATAACATAAGATCGAATTCATTCATTGTAATCATATAGGGTCAAGGAGTGTAGCTGTAAAAAATCATCCAAATCGGAGTTAAAATAATCGTTAAATCGTGATTTTTCGTTTATAACCGTTGAAAAGTTTTGTCCCGTTACTTGATTTTTGAATGTTTATTTTGTACGTATAACACTTAAGAAATTGAATGATATGTATATTTAAGCCGATCCAATGGTCACCAATTTTAAAATTTAATATACATATATATAATTATTATAGTTTTTAGGGGTATAAAATTGTTAAATTAATATATATAATTATTATAGTATTTTTTTAGGGTTATAAAATTATAAAATTCATATTTTACTTATCGTGTATCGTGTTACCCACGTGTATACCCGAACCAACTCGTTATCTTAACAGGTGCTTATCGGGTTACCCAATAACGACATGATTCGTTATCGTGTTGATCCGAACACCTGTTAATTTCGTGTCGTGTCGTGTCAGGAATTGCCAGGCCTAGTTCCAAGTTTGCTTGTAGCGCACGTAAACGATAGTTGAGTTTGTGATAAGTTCAATTTCTTCATTATACATGAATTTCTCCATATATATATATATGCATATTACGTACTTATGTGTGTACTATAGTTACGTAGGTGAGACATTTGTACTAAAACTTATGTACTAATGTATTCGTACCACAATTTTATGTACCTATACATTTGTAACAATACTCTGTACCTATGAGTTTTTTTCATATAAATTTTTTATGTATTGTTGTTGATTTTTTTTTAATTATAAGAATTTAAATTTTGGATAAATTTTTATCTATTTGTATGATTGGAGCATAAAAATATACATGACTTAAGAATAGGTTATAAAATGTTATAATACTTAAATATGGTAAGTTTTAATAATAAATACTTGAATTAGATTTAGAAAACGATTCATGTTAAAATATAAAAATATCTTATTTAAGTCATAAAATCTAAAAACTCCATTTTTTTCAAAACTAGTAAAGGAAAAAGTGACGATGAAACATTGCGGAC